GCAGAGGTCTGGGGAGGGGGCGCCGGGCTGCCCGAGCGCGCCGGAGGGGGTGTGGGGGGCGGGGGGCGCGGGGCGCTGTGCAGGAGCCGGGGAGGGCGCCTCGCGGCTGCCGGTGCGCGCGGGACGTGCGGGGGCGTGGAGGCCGCTGGGCGTGGCGGGGACCCGGAGGACTCGGGCGCTGCAGGGGAGGCGAGGGACGAGGGGCGGAGCGGGGCGCGCCTTGGGGGGCCCGCGGGGAAGGAGGTGCCGGGGCGCGGGACCAGGGTGCGGCCGAGGCCTCCGGGAGCTCGGAGGGAGGGCGGGGCGCGGCGGGGCCGCAGGTAACTCGGAACCGGAGAGGGGTCTAGGGGTCCCCGCAGGGGGCAGGGGGTACGCGGAGCCTGGAGGGAGTGCGGGCGCAGTGGAGAGGCGTCGGACACCCCCGGGCGGGCCGGGCGAACCTCAGGGCGCCTGGGGGGGCAGAGGGGTCGCCGCCCTTGACTCCGGGTCGAGGGAAGGGGGTGGAGGGGAGCTTGGCTGCAGGACACAGGCTGCGCCCGAGCACGGACGACGAGGTGCAGGGCACGGGGGTCGTGGAGGGGCTCGGGTTGAGCGGGGCCGAGGGCACGGGGGCGCCGGGCTGGGGCTGCGGCCGCGGGTGTCTGGAATGCAGCTGTCGCCTGCAGGCCTGCAGACCCGCGCGGGGGCCCTGGAGACGCCGCCGCCTCTGCGACGCCCTGCCCCCCCCGGCCAAGGCCAAGGCCACGTCCGCCGGCCGCCGCGCCCCCCGAGAGCCCGGGCGGTCAGCCCCCCTGTGCGCGAGGCGCGGAGCGCGGAACCATGCCGGGTGAGTCCGAGAAGCCTTTGCGTTCCGCCTCCCCTGTGCGGTCCGTCGGATCTGGGGAGACCCCCCCCCTCCGCTTTGCCTCACAGGCTCTACAGGCCCCTCGTCTCGCCTTTGCGCTGCCCAGGGCGCTGCCCGGGGCAGATGGAGAGGGGGTGAATCTCACCGGTGGAAGGGGGTGGAAGAGGGCCGTGCATCGCATGGGCCGGGGGCTTTGAGACTCCCGAATGTTCCTTCTGTCAAATGCACCACTAGAATTCCAACGGGCTAGTTTTCTTGGCCCCAGAATCGCACGTGCGGGGTTCTCACCGGGTAGGAAGGTCAGGCCCCTACAACCCTAGGAACCCAGGGCTTGGGCTTCACCAGAGTGGACAGTGCAGCCACTGTCTGTTGGTCGCACACATATCCGGGGTCGTCTCCCAGCCCGCCCAGCAGGCTTGGGGTGGCCGCCCCGCTGGGACCTAAGGCCGGGCCGGCCCCCCAGGGTCAGATCCATTTGGGTTTTGTGCACTTAGACAATTAGATCGTTGGCACGTGACTTCAGCCCCTGAGAAAGATGCGTGGCCTCCTGCTGCCTGGAAGCCCCCACCGCATCTGCACCAGACCCGGCCTGGTCGTGCGTGAGCCCATTAGGAAAAGAAGAAAAAGAAACAGGGTTTCATGCACAGGTTGGTAAATGGCCGAGTGGTTTGCACACTGCTTTCCTCTTCTCTGGCCTCAGAAAGGAAAATTGTTGAGCGGGGAGGCACGGCCTGTTTCCTGTGGTTCCCGCCGTGAGACGCTGTTCCCAGACGAGCAAAACGGGTCCTGTGTGTCAGGCAGCGGCCGGCAGTGCAAACCACCTTCCCCCCCAAAGCCCCGGGGGGCCCGGAGAATGGTGGCATTCAGGGAGAGGCATTGGGGCGCATCCGTCATCAGCCCTGGAATGTGCTCCCAGACCCACAGTGTGGATGCCACAGTTTTCTTCGGGGTGGGGAGACCTAAACGACCTTTGAGAAGAAGGGGAGGGGGCGCAGGAGGGAGCCAGTGTCATTTCTGGGGGGGGGGCGGACAGAAGACGGGTCACCAGGGACGAGACGGGGATAGAAATAGACACGGCTCCCAGACCCATTGGGAAACTCAGCTGTCACGTTCCCCGGGCTGAACTTGGTTTTGTAAGAATACCTCATTTTTTGTTTTTCTTCTTAAACCCGCGTTGGCTGAAGCCATGCGGACTTGGCCGGTGGTAGCTTCTTAAAAGCGAGGCTGTGTGGGATGAGGACACCCGTCCGTGGCTTCTCATCCTTGGGGGGTTGAAATCCAGCCGTTTGTGTTGCGTTCTCTGACGGAGGTCTTAGCCGTGAGTGATTTTGCAACGTGGTGCGCAGGGCTGGGGTGCCGTCAGAAGTGCCTGTCTTCCTTGGGGTCCCCGGAGAAGAGGGGCTCTCGTCCCCAGAGTTGGGGGGTGGGTGTGCTGTCATGCTGGTCGTAGGATCGTGAACCCGTCCATCCCAAGCAAACCCGCTCCGTATTCCCAGCCGCGTCTGCGTCGTCCGTAAGGATCGACAACCTGGACAAATTAATTCCCTGCCCTCGGTGCGTCATTCACGGTCCCCAGGGAACGCCAGGGTGTCCAAACCCAGCATGTCTGACACCTGCGGCGCTTGGAGATCTAATCGCTCCGGGGTCTGGTTTGAAGACTTGCCGGAGACGGAGGCCCCCGTTCCTCAGCCACCGAGAGTCAGAACAGCCCCAGCAAGTTGGGTGAGAGCTGCCTCCGGTGCCAGGCAGCCGGGGTCCTGACCCTCGAAACGATGAATGAGTGTGAATAACGCAGCTGGGTATTTGTCGCGTCGCGGTGTTACCTTCCGCTTGCACGGGATTTGGTGGTTTTGGGGGCGATGTCCAACCAAGCTCGGTTGGCCGACCCCGTTTAAGTTGTTCAAGTCTGAAATGTATAGCCAGTTACGAGGGGGATGGAGCTCAGGAGGAAAGCATGGTGTCTGCGCCCGGAAAGGGCAGCTGAACGTGAAATTAAACCTTGAAGGGTCACCAGGTGACTTCTCAGCTGCTTCCCCCCGGGGTTGGGTGTGCCATTATTGGATCCGCTTCCTGAGTTTAATGCCCTGATTTATGAGTTTGCTAGGACTCCTCAGACAGATGCTCTAGACAAAGTGGTTCAGATAACACACATGTATCTTCTCCTGGTCCTGGGGCCTGCGAGGCGGAGATCCAGGCGGGGCTGAGGCTGGGGGTCTGAGGTCCAGGCAGGGCCGAGGCCAGGAGGCTGAGATCCAGGCAGGGGTGAGGCTGGGGGCCTGGATCCAGGGAGGGGTGATGCTGGATGGTCTGATGTCCAGGAGGGGTGAGGCCGGGAGGCTGAGGTCCAGGCAGGGCCGAGGCCGGGGGTCTGAGGTCCAGGCAGGGCCGAGGCCGGGGGTCTGAGGTCCAAGAGGGGTGAGGCCGGGAGGCTGAGATCCAGGTCAGGGTGAGGCCTGGAGGCTGAGATTCAGGCAGGGGTGAGGCCAGGAGTCTGAGGTCCAGGCAGGGGTGAGGCTGGAGGTCTGAGATCCAGGCAGGGGTGATGCTGGATGGTCTGAGGTACGGGAAGGGTGAGGCCGGTAAGCTGAGCCCCAGGCAGGGCTGAGGCCGGGAGTCTGAGATCCAGGTCAGGGTGAGGCCGGGAGTCTGAGGTGCAGGCAGGGGTGATGCTGGAGGTCTGAGATCCAGGAGGGGCGAGGCCGAGAGGCTGAGATCCAGGAGGGGCGAGGCCGAGAGGCTGAGATCCAGGTCAGGGTGAGGCCGGGAGTCTGAGGTCCAGGCAGGGGTGATGCTGGGGGTCTGAGATCCAGGAGGGGCGAGGCCGAGAGGCTGAGCCCCAGGCAGGGCCGAGCCGGGTTCCCCCTGAGGCCTCTCTGCTTGGAGTGTAGACCTGTCTTGCCGCCGTGCTGCTCACGCGGGGGTCCCGCTGTGCGTGTCTGTGTCCTGACCTCCTGTTGTGAGGACCTCAGTCCTGGGGGATCAGGCCCCCCCCAGTGACCTCGTGTGACCTCAGCCCTCCCCTTAAAGGTGCAGTGTCCGGGTATGTCCCTATTCTGAGGCCCTGGGGGTGGGGCTTTGTGTGAATTTGCTGGAGGGATGTGATTCGGCTCCTAACAGCCATGGGTGACAGCAGTGACATTTATGTCCCTACAAAACGCGGCAAAACCGGTGTGTGCCGTTACCAGCGTCTGGTCACTGTGGCCTTTTCTGTTCTGTCGCACCCAGCACCTTACCCTGGGCCGACTGAGCCGCACGTTCCCCTGGTCAGGATGGCCATCCCGTCACAGGGCCGTCTGTTCTGGGCCAGGGCTCTCGTCACCGTGAGGTCTCTGGAGGACCTCAGTCTTTGTTCCCACGTCTCGGACATCTTTCCCCTTCAGACGCCTCGTGACAAAACTACCCGCCTGGGGTTTTTCCGTGAGAGTATTATTCTCCGTATTTCTGTGAGTGCTGTCTGTGTCCCTACAGACCTAACAGTATTTAAAGCCAGTTGTTTTTTTTAAAAAACTAGATTGGTAGAAAAAGAGATAAATGGATGATGGATGGATGGACTGGTGGATAGATAGGTGATAGTCATACATGGTTGATAGATGACAGGTGGTGCATAATACATGGTAAATAAATGACAGACGATATATAGATAGACGGTAGGTGATTGGTATGTTGGTAGATATAGATACGTGATTGGTAGATAAGTAGACAGATAGATAGACAGACAGGTAGATAGAATGGATACATGGATGGGTGGACAGATAGGTAGTTACAGGGATGGATATGGATGGATGGATAGATGGATGGATGGATGGATAGATGATAGAAAGACAAACAAATAATGGATGGGTGGAAGAATGTGTGGATAGATGACAGATAGATATGATGGATGGATAGATAGAAGATAGACAGATGATAGAATGGATACATGGATGGATGGACAGGTAGTTATAGGGATTGATATGGATGGATGAGTGGATGGACTGATAGATGATAGAAAGACGGACAAACAGATAAATGGATGGGTGGAAGAACGTGTGGATAGATGACAGATAGATATGATGGATGGATAGATACATGTTTGATAGATACATACATACATACATATGATGGATGGATTCATAGATAACAGATGGGTAAATAAATGGATGGATGGATACCTAGATGATAGATAGATAGATGGATAGGTGGATAGATAGATAGATAGTTATGATGGATGGATGGATGGATGCATGGATGGATGGATGGACGGACGGATGGATGGATGCATGGATGGATGGACGGACGGACGGACGGACGGGCAGATGGATGGATAGGTACATGGACGGGTATTTTGCGGCTACGAAGATGAGGTCTCGAGTCGGGGGTGAGGCAGAGAGCCACCGAGGCGGCCCCGGAACACCATACTCTTGTATGTAATGCAAGGGCGCAGCAGCCGCGCCCACGGGCAGCGGGGAGCCTGTTGTAGCAGGCGCCTTGTGGGACTTACCCCATGGGACGTAAAGGTCAGGGAGGCGCCCCAAGAAGCAGGCCTCACTCAGAAACTTGCGTTTGTCACACTATATTTAGCATGAATGTGAGTCCTTCAGGCCCTTGGGAGGGGAAGGGAGGGATGGGCTCGGCTCCCCGGCCTTTGAAAACCGAGGTCTGTGTGCTCTGGCCCCGCGCCGCGTGCCGCGAATTTTAATTTCTGCAGACGGCCCTGAGCCTGCCCAGGATTTCTCTGCAGCGCTGGGTCTCCGGGCAACGCGCTCGGCGGGTCCAGGAACTAAGTCGTCTGGGAGTCCCAGGGCACACTGACGGCAGAACACACTCAGGTTGGCGACGGGCGTCCCTTCCACGCACTAACCAGGCCCCAACCTGCTTAGCTTCTGAGATCAGACGAGATTGGGCGCGTTCAGGGTGGTGTGGAAACGGGCCCCGGGGGCACGTGCTGTGACTGTCTCTTCGTCCCCTGTGGTCGCACCGGGAAACAGGGCATCGTTTCCTTGCTTTGAGTGGCACGGGCATCGGCAACGTGGCTCGGATCCTCGGCGGTGGCTTGGAGGTTTCGATGTGCTGGTGCTTCGGGCCCAGATAGTTGGGGCTTCAGGACATTGTCATCGTATTCTGCTGGGCTCTGCCTCACGGGCGCCGTCTCCTTACCCTTTGTGTGATTCAGTTTTTTTTAAATATTTACTTATTTTTCAGAAAGAGAGAGAGAGAGAGAGGCAGCGTGAGCAGGGGAGGGTCAGAGAGAGAGGGAGTCACAGACTCTGAAGTAGCTCCAGACTCCGAGCTGTCAGCACAGAGCCCGACGCGGGGCTCGAACCCACGAACCGTGAGATCCTGACCTGAGCCAAAGTCGGATGCTTCACCGACTGAGCCCCCAGGCGCCTCCATGCGTGTTTTATAATGAAAAGGATGTGGGGTAGCCTGTCTGGGGACCATGTGACATTAGATCCCAGGGCTGTGAGCTCGGAGTCCATGTGGGACGTAGAAGTTATTGAAAGAAAAAAGGAAAAGAGACAAAAAAAAAAAAAAGAAAGGATGGAGTTCCCGTGCGCCAAGGGACCGTCTGTGAAAGCCGAACGGGTTGTGACGCTCCACAGACAAACCCAGGGTGGCCTGGAAGCCCGCCCCCTCGTGACGCGCGTCGGGGCCCTGACTCCGCTGTCTTCATCCACAGTGTCGGACCAGGCGTTTGTGACGCTGGCCACCAATGACACGTACTGCCAGGGCGCGCTGGTGCTGGGACAGTCGCTGAGGACGCAGCGGGCCACCCGGAAGCTGGCGGTGCTCATCACCCCCCAGGTGTCCAGCCGGCTCAGGTACGACGGGCCGATGGGCCGGCGCGGCTGCTGCTGTGCGCGGGCGGGGGCGGGGCTCGGGCGCGGCCGTCACGGGCGGCGTGTGATGCTTGTGCCCGACAACCACGATGTGCCTACACATGGCGCACGTCGGCGTGACGCACGTATGCATGGCGCACATACACATGGCGCATGCATGCATGAGGTATGTACGCACGTACGCATGGCACATGTGGACATGACACAGGTACCCATAACACACATACACATGACGCATGTGTGCATGACGCATGTACACATGACGCTCATACGCATGGCACATACACATGATGTACGTACACATGACGCACGTAGAAGTGGTGCGTGTACCCATGACGCATGTAGACATGACACATCCATGATGCACAAACACATGATTCATGTACACATGATGCACGTAGACGTGGAACATGAACTCACGATGCACGTACACATGACGCACATACATATGACTCACGTACACATGACGCACATACCCATGACACACAAACACGTGCTTCACGTACACGTGATGCCTGTACACACGACACACATACACACAACGGACGTACACATTAGTCACGTACCCATGACACATGTACACATGATGCACGCACACATGACACATGCACACATAATGCACGTACACATAGCTCACGCGCATGACACATGTACACATGACTCACGTACGCGTGACACACACTCATGACACGTGTACACATGGTACACACAACATCACGCACGCACACATGATGCACGCACACATGATGAACGTACACATGACTCGGGTACGCATGATGCACGTACACATTATGCACGGAAGCAGAGGCAGGTCCCCAGAAGGAAGGCAGAGAGGGCCGCCCGGGAGTCGTAGGGATTCTCAGGGGAGCGAGTCCGTACATGTCGTCATGTTGCACAGGAAGGTCTGGGTGTCTGTGTGTCGTTGCGGCGAGGGCGCGTCTAGGTCAGACGAGAGCGCTGGGTTTCCCGAGATTGTTCTGGAAGACAGAGGCCTGAGGGGGCGGCAGGCAGGCCCCAGGTAAGGCACAAGCAGGTGGGCCGTGCGAGCGATGGCTGATGGATAAGCATCCAAGAGCCGGGCTGTCCCACCGAGAGGACTTCCCGGCTCCCAGACCTGGAGCACATGGGGTCCCGAGGGCCCGCGCAGGGGCGCCCGTGGGCGTGAGGCTCGTGCACAGCCTCACTTAGGTGACCTCACGGTGCCCGATGGGTTGTGGGCTGGCAGTGCCCAGTCCTCCCCATCATCTGTTTCCTCCATTCCCCCACCTGCCTCCTCTATCTGATATATTGATTTAATAAAATTGGATAAATATATCAGATAAATCCAATAAAATTGGATCACACGTACAAGGAAGGAAAAGCAAAAGCAATCCTAGGTTTCTCTCAGTGTCAGAATCCAGGCAAGAGATTCAACTACCTTAATAATTCAACTATCTAAAAAATTAAACTATTAAAGTGGAGAATTCACATTTCCAATAGTACCGCTCAAGACTGTGCACCAACCATCACCATACAAAGCATGAAAGGATAAAACCTGTTTGATACACAGGCAAACGCAAAGAACCGCAGAGGGAGGGTCTTTTTATAGAGTTTCGCTGGTTTTTAACTCACAAAGAAAGCTGACACGTAAGTACGTTGATCTAATGAATAAACCATAAGATCTAATGATCTTAAATGTTACGCATTTTATAAACAACCGTCCTTTTCCTCATCTGCCATGGACCACTTAGAAAGATTGATTTTATAGTCACGGTACAAGGAGGCATTTAATGTGTTATTTGGCACAAGAATTGAATGATATGTCCTTTGACTATAATGTAATAAATGTAGGCACTAAGAGCAAAACACATTTAAAAAACAGCATTACCCTCAGACATTTTAAATCAGAAATCATCTCCTAAACACTTGATGAGTAAAGAAATCAAAACTTAAATTCTGTAGTACTTAAAAAATATATTTGCTACCCATTTAGAGCAAAGAGGAAGGCTGGAGTGGTGCCAGAGTGAAAAATTAAAATCAGTGAGGAAATTATGCAGATCGAGAAAAAAAAAAAAAGGCTAAATACAAACAAATACGTAAGGCAAGCCAGACGGAAGAGATTCATAAAAACTAATAACTGGGAACGGGGAACAAATCCAAGTGTCGCATTATTTAAAAGTAAATTAATGGGTGCCTGGGTGACTCAGTTGGGTAAGTGTCTGCCTCTTGATTTCTGCTCAGGTCATGATCTCACGGTTTGTGAGTTTGAGCCCCGTGTAAGGCTCTATGCTAACAGTGTGGAGCCTGCTTGGGATTCTCTCTCTTTCTCTCTCTCTCTCATTCTTTGCCCCTGCCCGGTTGGTGCTCTCTCTTTCTCAGAATAAATAAATAAACTTAAAAAAATGGAACCTTAAAAAATACTAGAAGGCATGGAGAATAGAGACTCCCCAGTTAGAAGGTCCGGAGAATGAGCAGTTGATAAAGGCCGTTCTGTTACGTTGGCCACAAGGAATTAGTTTCCGTGTGATGGGAACTGTCTCAGACCCTAGGGGAAAAAGTGAATGTATTCATTTATTTAACAAAGCATCCTCACCTTGAGACCCCAACTGGATTTACAGGTTTGAGTGTGTTTCCATCTACATGGAAAACACAGTCAGAAACACGACGACAGTAAGACCACTTGACGTGCGTCCTAGAGAAATGAATGACCATCTGAGGAAGATAGTTCATGGCCTCATTGTAACTCATCCATCACGACAGGACCTCGGAGAAAAGCAATGATAACGGTCCTTTTAATATAAAGTTAAACGTGTACCAGGATGAAATCCAGATGAGGATAGGTAAACATTTGAAAGGGTAGGCGGATCTCAGAAGTCAGTAGGTCAGGGTGTGGCAGCCTGGGCGCTCGTGACATTTGGGGCTGGATGTCTCTCTCTCGTGGGGAATCCTGTGCCCTGTAGGCTGTTGGCCAGCATCTCTGGTCTCCATTCGAGATACAGCCCTCCCTGCAGATGTGACACAGACACATGTCTCCAGACACTGACATGACGGACCTTCCGTTCATCCGAACGCTGGGAAAACCATTCTGAATTCAAGCAAAGGCTTGGGGCGCCTGGGGGGCTCAGTCGGTTAAGCATCTGACTTCGGCTCAGGTCATGATCTCCTGGTCTGTGAGTTCGAGCCCCGTGTCGGGTTCTGTGCTGACGGCCTGGAGGCTACTTAGGATTCTGTGTCTCTGTCTCTCTCTGCCCCTCCACCTTGTGCTCTGTCTCTCTCTCTAATAAATAAATTAATGTTAATTTTTAAAAAAAAATTTTAATGTTTTATTTATTTTTGAGAGAGAGAGATAGAGACAGCGTGAGCAAGGGAGGGTCAGAGAGAGAGGGAGACACAGAATCCGAAGCAGCTCCAGGCTCCGAGCTGTCAGCACAGAGCCCGACGTGGGACTCGAACCCATGAACCGTGAGATCACGACCTGAGCCGAAGTCGGATGCTTAACTGACTGAGACACCCAGGCGCCCCTAAAAATTTTTTTAAAGCAAAGGCTGAGACCCGGACCACTGTAGTTCAGAAATAGCACGTATCGTCAAAGAGGAAGTGGGTAAACTAAGAGGCACATTAACAAGATCCGTATGATGTTCAAGGAAGTCTTCCAAGCAGGACACACAGATGGACAAACGGACATACCAGCAAGGTTGGTGTTTTGGGGGGCAGACCTTCGGCTTTGACACCAAGTGATGTCATTATACCAGAGGCACGCTGGCTATAACTCGTTCCCTCAAGAGCGTTTCAAGTTCATCAGTGCGTAAAGTGCATTTCCTCTTCCCTAAGATGAGCCGCAGTCATATTCCCCTGTGTCCAGACCCCTGACCTTTAGAGTCAGACCAGAGACTCTGGCAGACACAGAGCCGGGAAGGCGGACCCAGATGGTAGACCCGTGTCCCGCTGTGTCTCGGTTGGGACCAATATGGGAAACGTGGGCTGTTTCTTGGTGGCCCCTGTGCCGCCAGCCGCCCTGGTGATGGGGGGCAGTCATATTTTCTTAGAGAAGTCAGTCCTCATGATCCCCACATGATGCCCACATGATTCCCGTCTCCCCAGGGTCGGCGAAAGCTGTCCGCGCTGACTTTCTGGCCGGCTCCCAGTCCACCGAAGGCGAACTGTAAACTATTTAGAAACATCCAGTAACCCTGGGAAGCTTCAGTGTTGCAGAACCAGTTAGCCTTTAGGGGACCCGTGACACAGTTTGCAGCCCTTGGGAGGGCAGAGGGACAGCGCCCTGTGGCCCAGTAGCAGACAGACGGGGACAGGTGACCCAAAGTGACCAAGGGGTTGGGGGTGGGGGCCACCACTCCGCTTTTGCACGCTGTAGGGTCCAAGCGCACAGTGGGGGTCATCATTCTGCACAGAAACAAACTCAGGAGCACGTGCTCAGGGCTTCAAACAAATTGTCTGTGTGAAACTCAACTCCAAGTCCAGGGACTTATTTTGAGAAAACAGCCGGAGCTGAACCAAAGAATTCAGGGACGTTACACCACTGTCTATTTGTAGCAACACTGAGTGATTTTTTTTTTTTTCCCCTCCACGTCCCTGGCTACCGGATCTTTACACAACCCTGAGGATGCCATAAATTCCATAAATAACTGGGTTAAAAGCAAGGGAAACTTGGCGTTGAAGTAGTACTTTCTCAGACATGTAGGTACTTTCAATACCGTTCAATGAAGAATTAAAAAAAAAAAATGTAAGGAACGAGCATAAAAGCTAGACTGGGATATAACAGACAGACTCAGGAGCAGCAACGTCTCCCTAATACTGGAAATTTCAAAAAGAGAAAAAAAACGCGTTTTAGGAAGGAAGTCATCTCGTATTCCAGCTTTGAGAAAGGATTTCAGGTTGAAAATGCCACGTGAGTGTTGAGCAGAATGAATGAACGCAACAAAGAATAGAGAAAGGCACTAAATGCATTTTAGCATCCGTCAGGTTGACAACTTACCACAGTAAGTATGGTCACTATACAAAATTATGACAATACAATTGACTGCATTCCTTATGCTCTACTTCTCATCTCTGTGACTTATTTTACAACTGGACGTTTGTACCTCTTAATCCCAATCACCTGTTTGACCCGTTCCCCCCCACTCGTGGGGGCAAAGTACTTTTGGAATGAGATTTCCACAGGCAGCCACACTGATGCGATTCGAAAGCAAAATAAAGATGTTCCAAAAATGTAAAAGCTTAAAATTTTTACCCCTCAGGGGTGCCTGGGTGGCTTAGTCGGTTAAACGTCCGACTCTCGCTTAGGTCATGATCTCGCGGTTCGTGGGTTCGAACCCCGCATCGGGCTCTGTGCTGACTCCCAGCTCGGAGCCTGGAGCCTGTTTCAGTCTGTGACTCCCTCTCTCTCTGACCCTCCCCTGCTCACGCTGTCTCTCTCTCTCTCTCAGAAATAAATAAAACATTAAAATTTTTTTTAAAAAGTAAAGAAACATAGAATACATCAGTCAATCTCCTGGATGTGTGCATGAGGCACTTTCAATAACTACACAAAATGTTGAAAAGAAAAATGCATTTGATAATAGGATTCTCTTCTCATCCAGGATCGTGCATTGCATTAATTACCACGTCTACCCCTGTGACTTCCCATCTGTAATATTTTCTCCTTCTTTCCTTACGTGTCATGATCTTGACATTTTCCCAAGAGTACTGGTCAGTTATGTTATAGAATTCCTTTTGGCTTGGGTTTGTCCGGTATATTCTCAATAGTAGGCTGAGGTTATGCATTTTTGGCCAAAAAAAAAAAAAGCCCTCAAGAGTGATGTACCTTTTTTAGGGCATCCTTTCAAGGAGTGTGTGATGCTTCTCTGTACTGTTTTTGGGGATATTAACCTTGATCACATGGATAAGGTACTATCTGTGGGGTTATGATTTTTGTCTTTAAAATTGATAAATATCTCAGGGAGATACTCAGACTATGAAAACACGTGCTGCTGCTTCTCAAAACCTTTACCCATTGATTTTAGCATCCGTTGACGAGATTTGCCAGCAGCAGTTATTACTGTGGTGTTAGCCTAATGGTGATTTTCTTCTTCTTCTTCTTCTTCTTTTTTTTTTTTTTTATAAATGTTATCTCATTTATTGTGAGACAGAGGGAGAGCGGGTGTGTGTACAAGTAGGGGAGGGGCCAGAAAGAAAGGGAGAGAGAGAGAATCTGAAGCAGGTTTCACACTGTCAGCACAGAGCCTGATGCGGGGCTCGATCTCACCATCTGTGAGCCAAAGTCAAGAGTAGGATGCTTAACTCAACCAACCAGGTGCCCCCAATGGTGATTTTCTATTTCCCTCATTCCTAATACATTTATTATTTGGAATTCTCCTGTAAGGGATTGCTGGTCCTTCTTTCCCATTTATTTATCTACTGAATTACCATCTTAATGCTAAGATTATACTATTATATAATAGTATAAATAGTGTAAATAGTATAAATACTATTATACTATTAATATTGGTATTAATGTTAATACTAATATTGACCAATGAATTACCATCTTAATGCTAATATTATACTATTAGTACAATCTTGGTATTAATATTAATACTAATATTGACCAATGAATGAATGCTAATAGTATACTATTAGTACAATATTGGTATTAATATTAATACTAATATTGACCAATGAATATTTTGGGTTTCTTATTTGTTTTCCTGTTCAGATTGCAGCTTTGGGCCTTCAGAGCTCTCCTGATTGGCTCCCTGTATCCTTTTGACCTTCTTCCATCCTTTTTCTAGCTCTTCCTTACTTGTTTGCTGTCCTAAGACATTCTGATCTATGATGAAGTAGAATGTAAGCAACAAAAAAATAATAGAATAGAGGAAAATTTCATATTGACAAAAGGTACAGTCTTTCAAAATTTGAGTGTCAAACTTGTATGCAACTAATAATGTAGGTTTTGAATACGTAAACTAAAAGCAAAAAATAAATACATGGAATTTTAAAAAGTAAAAAATGACCATAAAATAAAAACTGATAGAGATCGTAGTGGACGTCGCCCGTCTCCACCTGCTCAGCGTTCATTCCCACCGCACATGCATTTTTCAAAGAGAATTGCCTTCTTCAGGGATGACCAGAATCAATCTAACGGTTCTGTATAGTTGCCAAGCTTTTTAAGTTTGCATAAGGCTTAAGCATGAGTGGAAAGTATACCAAGGTCCATGGAAAAAATAAAGCCTGAACATGAAGACTACTTGAGTTTCTTGGGGTTTTGGATCCGTGCTCGATTTTGTGAGTAGCCAAGTGGTGTCACCTTGAAGGGCTAGCATGTCCTGTGTTGAATGTTCACTTGCTCTCTTAGCACTTGCCGTGGATCTTTTACAGGGTTATCCTGTCGAAAGTGTTTGACGAGGTCATCGAGGTGAACCTGATAGACAGTGCAGACTACATCCACCTGGCCTTTCTGAAGAGGCCTGAGCTTGGCGTCACCCTCACCAAGCTTCACTGTTGGACCCTCACCCATTATAGCAAGTGTGTCTTTCTGGATGCAGATACTCTGGTGAGTACAGGGGGGATAGTGAGGAACCCCTCAAAGACCCTTTTGAAGTAGGCTTCTGGTTCTTACTGGTGGGTTCCCACCAGGTAACCTGCATCCCCATCACCAGCTTTGACACTCAGTGCATCAGAACCGAGTATAACACGTCGTGAGCACAACTGTTCAGGACCCTAAGGGACTTGAAGGCACGCTCCTTCCCTAGGAAGATTTATAATCACCTCATTTCATCTACGTGAAATAGAATAAATAAAAAAAATAGTTTGCCTTGATTGTATATTGAAACGCATAGAACTCATTAGAGTGTAAAAGCTGGCTTGTTAGGCGGTGGTGACCTATAGCATGGGAGCCAATGCTGACCGCCTTCAAAACCAGCCATCGGAAGGCTGAGGTGTGAAATGGACTTGGGACGTCACCAATCCATTGTAGGCCGTCCTGATTGGGGAAGAGCATCTCTTTAGGAAGACGGGGAGGTGCCGAGGAAAAGAAGACCAGTCCCACGATCGTTTTTCCGAGCAGAGCATGATTTAGAAAGGCAGTGGTGTTGCAAGGATCTGCAATTAGTCGTTAAGCCCTGGAAGGCAACCGATTGCATCCTGTTGACTTGCAAACCTCTCCGTTCAGGGGTTTGCCGCGTTTCATAGGTCCCGTTTGCTAGATTAAGGAGGACAGGCAGCTAGGCAAGCTCTACACAGGATCTTAAAAACCTTGAGAAAATAACTTAGTTTCGGAAATGGTGTTACTTCAATCACTTGACATGAGCCGGAGAGCGATGTTACCCTACGCTCTTCTCTGTCTGATGTAAGCCTACAAAAAGAGTTGGTCAAAAAATAACGGGCTCACGTTTCCGGCCGCTAGATGTCGTCTGGCCATCTTTAAGTGTCCGTGGCATGTGTCACCTGCCTTCCAGAGGTAAGAGAGCGTGGCTTTCTTCGCCAGGTGCTGTCCAATATCGATGAGCTGTTTGACCGGGCGGAGTTTTCCGCAGCCCCGGATCCCGGATGGCCGGACTGCTTCAACAGCGGCGTATTTGTCTTCCAGCCGTCCCTCGAGACGCACAGCCTGTTGCTGCGACATGCCACCGACCACGGCAGCTTCGACGGTAAGCGAGGGAAGCTTTAAGTGGCTGGAAGAGAATGGGGCTGTTTCCAGTACCCATACCCCTGCCTCCGGCTCACTCCCCCCAGATATGGGAATGGCAACTCAAAGTGAGTTGAAGATGAGTGTCGAAGAATAAGGCCAGGCAGGCCGTTAGGAAAAAGTGAAGTCAGTAAGTAAATACATTATGTAGGAAACCACTGAAAACATGCGCAATGAGTAGGAAGGATTTCCCAGTCCTGATGGTAGAGAAATGGGTGGGCCAACCTTTCTCTCAAGACTCGATAATAGATTTTCTGGAGCATCATGGGGCATATGATCTCCCCTGCACATCTTTAAGCCTCTGGTCATAGACTGAAAGCAGCTGTTGACAAAACTTAAATGACATGGCTGTGTTCCAATAAAACTTTATTTACAAAAATGGGTGTAAGCCTTGGTTGGCCCGCTCATGATACAGAATAAAGTGACCAGGGAGAAGCCGATATTTGGTGCACAGGCTTTAATAGAACGTGCTAGGTGTGTTGTAAAAGAAAATACTCCGGGCACCTGGGTGGCTCGGTCTGTTAAGCGAATGACATCGGCTCAGGTCATGATCTCGCGGTTCGTGGGTTCAAGCCCCGCGTCGGGCTCTGTGCTGACAGCTCAGGGCCTGGAGCTGCTTCAGATTCTGTGTCTCCTTCTCTCTCTGACCCTCCCCTGCTCATGCTGTCTCTCTCTCTCCCTCTCTCTAAGAAATAAATTAAACCTAAAAAAAAAAAAAAAAAGAAAATACTCAACTGATAAAGAATGGACTGTGGGTAGGGGTGAGGAGATGCCCACCAAACATGGTGGAGAAAGCAGTGTTACTACCAGATAGAATTCAGTGTGGACAGAATGGAGAATTTTGGAGACGACGTGTGGGTTTATTATCAATGGTCCGGGGTATGGGTGGAGAATTTTGGAGAGAAAATGTGGTGTTAAGATTAATGGTATGGGCGATCGCTCCGTTTTGAGATGAAGGGTCATGTTGTAGTGGCAGAGAGAAGGAACATGATGGGACCTCGCCTATAGGTGGGTATAGTAAGCGCTTCTAGCGTGTCTAGAATCTTCTCCGAGCGCTGTTCCGTCCTTTAGGCGCAGACCAAGGCTTACTGAACAGCTTCTTCAGTAGCTGGTCCACGGCAGACATCCACAAGCACTTACCGTTCATCTATAACTTGAGCAGTAACACGGCGTATACCTACAGTCCCGCCTTCAAACGGTAGGTTCTCCGTTTTCTAGATCCTTCTAGACCAGATGCCTTCCAGCAACCCTGTCTCTAGAATCTTTATCAGCTTTTGGCATTTGGGTTAAAAAAATAAGATCCTCCCTCTGTTTGCCTTTTGCAATTGTAAATTATAGGTAGTCAGGGCAGGGTGGTCTAATGGTCGTGGTTCCCAACGTGTGGTCCAAGGAACCCCCACGGGGGTTCCCCACAGTTCTTTCAAATGTCTGCAAAGTCAAGATGACTTAAGAAATAATTATAAGATGTTATTTTTTTCTTTTTCTTATTTTATTTTCATGAGTGTATAGGGGCGTTTTATAGACACTCCCTGACATAATAAAAAGTGAGCTGAAAAACAAAAACCAAAAAGCAATGTACTGAATGCAGACAGATAGAAGAAGCCGGGTGTCTGCTCTGGGACTGGTCCATTGTTTTTTGGAAATACAGTTATTTTTCATGAAAAACGTGTGAAATGAACATCAGCATCTCATGGGTTGATTGATTTCTAACGAATTGATTCAGTCTGTTTTCAGATTTCTCAGTTTTAATTTCCGTTGCAATAAATATGCACAGAGAGAATCCACGTGAACAAATGTAGATTCTTGGTCCTCAGTGCATGTTAAGAATTTCACAAAACCCTGGGACCGAAATGTTTGAGATTTGCTGCTGTGGGTGATGTTGTTATAAAGAAAAGTGAGCATCTGAGCAGAATGTAGGGAAAGAATAATTCTAGAGTGTACATTTTTAACAGGGGACAGACTGCGTCCAACGGGCAGAAATTGGTCCTTGGGGACTGGAAACATCTTATTCTTTTTAATGTATAAACCAGAGATGTGCACACAGGACACGGATTATAGTGCAAAGACAGTATTAACGTTTCATGGGAAGATGATTATGGGAAAAATGTTTAAAAAGGTTGAGAGGAGAAAAACCACAGTCTTCACAAGAGAGAAGTCAATTTTTCCATCTGAATCCTGCGTCGTCTTCTATAAAAGTGATTTTCTTGGGGCGCCTGGGTGGCTCAGTCGGTCGGGCGTCCGACTTCGACTCAGGTCATGACCTCGCAGTTTGTGGGTTCGAGCCCCGCGTCGGGTTCTGTGCGAACAGCTGGGAGCCTGGAGCCTGTTTCAGATTCTGTGTCTCCCTCTCTCTCTCTCTGCCCCTCCCCCGCTCATGCTCTGTCTCTGTCTCAGAAATAAAGTATAAAAAAAATTTTTTAAAAAAAGTGATTTTTCTTGGTCCCTCTTGTTTTAAGGAGATGATATTTTGGGCTACATACCATCCCATCCATCTTTATAAGGTTCTTGATGGATTCTTCTGTTCTGGGGGGAATATCCCAATGGGTTATGATTATGTTTCTTGGTGTGCAGAAAACGAAATACTTTAAATGTTGAGTGTTTAAACCGTTACCTTTTTAAAATGGTTTTTATTATTTATTTTTGAGAGAGAGACAGCGTGAGCAGGGGAGGGGCAGAGAGAGGGAGACACAGAATCTGAAACAGGCTCCAGGCTCTGAGCTGTCAGCACAGAGCCGGACACGGGGCTTGAACTCACCAACCGTGAGATCATGACCTGAGCCAAAGTCGGGTGCTTGACCGATGGAGCCACCCAGGCACCCTTCGACCATTATCTTTTTTTTTTTTTTTTTCTAGAAGAGAAAGAGACAGCGTGAGCAGGGGAGGGTCAGAGAGAGAGGGAGTCACAGACTCTGAAACAGGCTCCAGGCTCTGAGCTGTCAGCACAGAGCCCGACGTGGGGCTCGAACCCACGAACCGCGAGATCATGACCTGAGCCCAAGTCGGGTGCTTGACCGACGGAGCCCCCCAGGCGCCCTTCGACCATTATCTTTAAGGAAGCCTACGTGCAGGCCCGATGAGGAGGGTCGAGACAGGTGTTTCCTCGCTGCTGTGTTGGACGCGCCTCACGGTGGTCACACGGTCCCCGTGCGTGAGTGGCCACTTCCGAGTGCAAAGTGTGGTGCTTTGTGTTTCCTCCGCAGATTCGGTTCCAGCGCGAAGATCGTGCACTTTCTGGGGCCCACAAAGCCATGGAACTACAGATACAATCCGCAGACGGGCTCGGTGTCGGAGGACGGCTCCGGGGTGGCCAGCCAGCACCAGACCTCCTTCCTGAACCTCTGGTGGGCCATCTACCAGCGCAGCGTGCTGCCTCTTTACGAGAGCTCGCGGGACGCAGAAGGCCACGGAGCGCCCGGACACAGCGTAAGCGGGCGGCGCCCTCCGCGGACAGGAGCTGGGCCCGTGTATACAGTAGACGTGTACTCGGTGTCCTTTCCAGAAATTCACCCTGCTCTGGCCACACGCTGTATGTGGTGGTTTTGTGCCCCTCGGGCTCCCAATCATGAATGTTTAATGCGCCAGAGTGTGGCTGGGATTTACAGAGTTCGTGCATAAGTAATCTCCATTAGGCGCCTTCATCAGGGAAAGAGCCGCGTGCACAGAAGTGGCCGCGGGTGATTCATTACCCTGTCGTTCGAGGAGACGTTTTGCAGTTCGCATCATCAGCTGAAGTAGCTGTTGGGGCAAAGCGTTGAAGAGTTTCTCTTTTCTTTTTTTTTTTAATATTGGAAGAAAGCCAATGATGTTTTTTTTTTTATCTTTTATTTATTTCTGAGAGCGAGAGAGACAGCGTGAGCAGGGGAGGGTTAGAGAGAGAGGGAGACACAGAATCCGAAGCAGCTCCAGGCTCCGAGCTGTCAGCACAGAGCCCGACGCGGGGCTCGAACCCATGAACCGTGAGGTCCTGACCTGAGCCGAAGTCGGACGCTCAACCGACTGAGCCCCCAGGCGCCCCCACGTGTCACCTGCTTTATCAGAGCTCGCCTTCGGAGGTGGGCGCTCTCTCTGTGGGTCAGGGGGTGCCCAGGGGCTGGGGTTGGTCTCCGGAGCAGTCGGCTGTGTGCACGGCTGGCTCAGGACACGGTGGCTGGTTTATAGGTTCGCGTGGCCTGGTGTCCCAGGCCTGTGTGCGTTCACGGGTGAGGCTATGCTTAGGGAGCGCACACCTGACCGTTGGGGGGCACTGTGCACGCGGAGTCTCGGGGTCCCCAAGGCAGCCGGAGAGTTGAAATCGAAGGATGAGGACTTAGCAAGCGTGTGCATCTTTCTGCAGAGTGGCGTCAGAGAGCCGTGTGCAAAATCAGCGGCGGGGTCCAGCCAGCCTCGGCCGGCCAGGGGCCTTTCGGAGGACACTGTGGTCACGGAGGACACCCCTCCCTCACCCAAGGGAAGCCGTTCCGAGGACGTGAGTACTCGAGGTCTACACGGCTGTGATGGCAGAGCAAACGCGGGCTCCCCGAGGAGACGGCTGAGAGCCTGCTTCCCGGGCTCCGCGGGAGGGAGGGGGACGGACCGTCTGCAGAGCATCGTTGCACAGTTTGACTGGGGAGGGGGCTCCTGCGTTCACGTGGTTCGTTGACCACTTTACCTGGGGAGGGGGCTCCGTATTCACATGGATCATTGCCCAGTTTTACGTGGGCGGCTCCGGGTTCGCGTGGATCAGTGCACCCGTGGGCACATCAGATGATGCTCTCCCACCGACACGTGTGCGTCCTAATTCTGGGAGCTGAAAATGCTGCCTTCTGGGGATGAGGACCTCGCGATAAGATGATTCTCAGTGAGACGGAGCCGGACGGTGCGAGCTGCGCCGGCCCTGGAGGAACGTGGCCACAAGCCAGGGCGGCCGCTGTGTCCGGAAGCAGGAGAAGGCCAGAAACGCACCATCTGCGGGAGCCTGCTCCCCCCTCGATTCCACCCAGCGACCCCTCAGGGGGCGTCTGACCTGCAGAGCTGAAGCGCGACCAGGCTGCGTCGTCATCTTCAGCCCCCAAATGTGCACCAGACGTGGGTGTTGGCCACGGCAAGCCCGTGGGCACCCTGAGAACCGGGGTGCGGTCTCATCCTGAGGTTAGGGGCTCCCCAAACTTTCAGGTTCAAGAGGCATCCCCTGCACACCCCCGTTGAACTCAGCTGCCGGGCCACACAGCTCGTTCAGTCCCTTCCACGGAGCCCGGATCTCCAGAAAGAGACGCCACATCCTGTTTGGAGAACGGAAATCCCACAGGACGCTGTGCTTTCTCCATCCGCTGCTCCGAGTGAATACTTGGGTATCGTGTCCGTTGTTGGAAGATTTCGGGATTTAAATCCTCACGTTGAAACGTGTTTTTATTCCTCGTAATTTCTCACCGGAATTGTTAGGAGTGTGTAGCTGGGGAGGGATCTGGGGAATGGGTTCACGGACGGCGAATTTTTCCGCGAGCGTCACACAGCTTCAGGACAGCTGTTTCTCCGTGTGAAGAAGCGATGTTGAATTTTTTTAAAATGCTTGTTTATTTTTGAGAGAGAGAGAGAGGGAGAGACAGCGTGAGCAGGGGAGGGTCAGAGAGAGAGGGAGACACAGAATCCGAAGCAGCTCCAGGCGCTGTCAGCACAGAGCCCGACGCGGGGCTCGAACCCACGCACCGTGAGATGGTGACCTGAGCCGAAGTCGGCCGCTCAACCAACTGAGCGACCTTTAAATTTTAGCAGACACTTTTGCGGAAGGCGCTTTACAGTTTATGACAACACGGAATCAATTACAGTCCGTCAAGGTCACAGGTTGATGGGTTTTGAATTGTGATTTCACATCAACCCCAACGAGTGGAAAAGACCGTACGGTAATGACAGAGGTATTAAGAGATGAGATTTCTTGGTTTCTCATTCGTCCTGATGTACACGGAGCCCCCTGTAGGCTGGATGTGGCCCCGGGAAGTGCCACACGTGACCACGTGACTTAAGTGAAGGTCCCACGGGCTCTGTTTCTCAGGAGAACCCAGACTCCTACACCAACCGTCTTTCAAATTCCAGGTGACGTCATTTTAATCGTGTTCTATCATCGGATAGTGTGTATTTGCTGTTTTGTAGCTTTGTCTGATTAAAGATCAATGAAAAGGATTTCTCCCCTGTGGATGAGGTCGACGTGATTGATCAAAGCGCCTTCTCCATCCTGGGGACACCACCTGCTTCCCAAGGACTGTCCCATATCTAGAGGCCCGTGGATGCGTCTTCCAGATCCTTTGGCCACTCACGGGACCCCATGGGCTGTCACCGGTCCTGAAAATCAAGGAGCCCAGAGCAGAGATTTTGCAGATACTCGAGGAGGGAAAAACCGTCGGGAGACTTGAACCCCGTGCTGTGTTCACCCCAGAAGCAGCAGAACCGTGTTCACAGCGCGAAGACTACTTTGGTTTCATTACAAATCGCCTTCACGTTGGGTTCATCAACGCTGACCTCCTTGATGGCTGTGGGTGTTCTTGGCGTCTAATCCGTACCTTACTTTTGGCTTCGTAAGCGGTGGTGAATCTCTGCCTGGTGACATGGACGGTGGCAGCCACAGGACAGAAGTCCACTTAGGGGGCAGCCGGCTCCATCCGTGCCACAAGATGGTGCCGTTCGGGCAAGTGTCCTGTGGCCCCAAACCCTGCGCCATCCTCAAGGGGTAGACAGAGCTGCGGGCCAAGGGTCAGTAGAAGGGAGGTGACTCCAGGGGTGCGGGTTGAGGGTGCCTGGTTCAGGATGCGTAGCTAGTGCTCACCGGTCATTGCGGAACTCGGATCTGGGGTCTTGGCCGTGCTCCAGCTCACCTGCGTGCCCTTCCGTCCCAGACGGCTCCCCACGGCGGGTCCCTGCGGTGAGTACCCTGTGTGTGCACATTGCAGAGGAAGGACTCCAGAATGATGCACCTGAAAGGCTAATGCCTCGGCTGAAATGTGTCCTGAGGACCGGGGAGGTGCCGGTCGAGGAAAGGGGGTGGGTCGGGGGCAGGCGAGACCCGGCCTTGCTCACTCTTGTGTGTCCTGGACACTCAGAGGAGAAGGCGCCCCGAGAGTACTGTGAGCACTCCTTATGTGCGTCGTATTTCCCGGGGGGGGGAGGAGGAGAGGGATCCCGAGGGAATGGGCAGCGGCTGGAGGTGCAGTAAATAGACTCGACCCTGAACAGTTGGGGGTCGCGGGGCAGCCCAGAGCGTGAGTTGTCCACGGTGTCCGCTTCATTCTTCCACCCCCATCCCGTCCCGCCATCTGTGAATAAAGGGTTGTGGTGATGGATATTTAAGACATTTCCGAGGCTTAACAGAAGCCCGTAAGGGAAGGGCAGGAAAAATAAGATAAAAACAGAGAGGGAGGCAAAGCATAAGCGACTCTTAACTACAGAGAACTCAGAGGGTTGATGGGGTGGGGGAGGGGGAAGTGGGGGATGGGCACTGAGGAGGCACTTGTTGGGATGAGCACTGGGCGTTGTAGGTGAGCGATGAATCACGGGCATCTACTCCCGAAGCCAAGTCGACACGGTATGTTAGCTGACTTGACGATAAATAAATTAAAAATAATAAATTAATTCAATAAAACAAAACTTTCTAAAGCCGCATTTGAAAAGTAAAAAGTAAAATGAGATGTCGGTGGCTTGATTCTCCGACGGTGAGCATGTGTCTCTAAAAGCATGAAGTCCGCACACATTTAAAAGGACGGGACGCATCACCAGATTGCGCCCCTGAACCCAGTCTTGCGCTCTCGGTTAACTAACCAGAACTTAAAGAAGGACTTGAAAGAGAAACACAGAAGGAAGGTGAGCTGTCGCAGGATCCGAAGTGCCTTATTTTGGAAGGCATTACGCAACATCGATGCCACCTACCGGCCACGTATTGAATTACTGACTCTGGGTCTGGAACCCAGTCTAAGAAGAAAAATGATAGGGGGGCCTTGGGTGGCTCAGTCGGTTAAGTTTCCTGCTTGTGCTCAGGTCATGATCTCATAGTTTGTGGGTTTGAGCCCCACATCGGGCTCTATTCCGACAGCCCAGAGCCTGGAGCTGCTTCAGATTCTGTGTCTCCCTCTCTCTCTGCCCCTCCCCCACTCAGGATCTGTCTCTGTCTCAAAAATAAACAAACATTAAAAAAAAAGACGATCTTCATAAATTCCTATAAATGTACAAGAGCTGGGTCCTGACCTTGGGATCCTTATGAAAGATGGGAGCCTTGGTAAATATGGCAACAATATTGACAAGTAGGTATCCGTTTTCAAAAGTTATAGCCGAACGTCTGATTTTCTTCCCATGTAGACTGATGCATTAGGGAAATATATTTGCTATTTATTATTTTGTCAGCCAAGTGTTTTGTTCTCCAGTATCTTGGGTGGGGAAATGTAGTTAATGAAAAGATGAAGAATGCCCTTTGTTTTTTTGAAGTTATTGGTTGTTTTTATTGTTTGTAGAACTCCCTCCCTCCTTTTCTTCTTTCCTTCATTCCCTCCATCCCCCATCCCTCCCTTCCTCCCTCCCCCCTCTTTCCTTCTTTCTTTCTTTCTTTCTTTCTTTCTTTCTTTCTTTCTTTCTTTCTTTCTTTCTTTNATAGGGAGGCCAAAGATAGATCCCTCTCTCCCTCCCTCTCTCCCTCCCTTTCCTTCCTTCCTTCCTTCCTTCCTTCCTTCCTTCCTTCCTTCCTTCCTTCCTTCCTTCCTTCCTTCCTTCTTTCCTTCCCTCCCTCCCTCCCTCCCTTTCTTCTTTCTTCCTTTCTATTTGAGGGATAATATGTGTGTTAAAAAAGACACACATGATAAGTATATATCTTGATACACTTTCAGAGTAAAAAAACAAAATCCCAAGTAGCCACAATCCAGACCCGGAAATTCACCCCAAAAGTCCCCTTTCACCCTCCCAGTCACTAGGACAGGCTATCCTGACCTTGACCCATTACCACGTACCTGTGAGTGCTTTTGAGCTCCTTATGAATGGACCCTACAATATGTTCTTTCTAATCTGGTCTCCTTCACTCGAGATCCACCCGTCTTGCTTAGTGATTCAGTAATTCGTTAATTCTCGTGGGCCGCATATTGTCAAATTGTGGGATGACATAATGTCCTGATTGATTCTGGTGTTGGTGGACACCACCATTTGGGCTACACAGACAACGCCATGAGGACCAGCCTAGTGCATGCATCATGTTGGCCTTGCCCACGCATTTTTGGAGACGTGGTGCTTTAGGGCAGGGTTGTTAGTCAGAGGGTATGCTTTCGTGTGCCCTTCCGCGTTAGTAGATTCTGCCAAGGATTTGGCACGTGGTGCCCCCCCCCCCCATGGTGGGAGTTCTGGTGGCTGCACATCGTCAGCAACCTTCCAAAGTGCCATCGGGCACACGGGGCGTCTCCTGGTGGTTTTGATTTGCACGTATGAGATGAGGTTGAACTAACTCGAGCCAAGTTTTAGATGCTTAACAGGCTGTGTCTCCTTCAAATATTTCGAACATTTTTTTTCCTCCAGCGTTTCCTTTTTTTAAGTGAATCTTAACAATGTGTATGTATTCCAGATCGAAGCTCTTTTTAAGCGGTGCAGTGAATGCTTTCTCCTGCTCTGTTACCTTCTCCATCCCCAAACGGCATCTTTTGAGGTACAGATATTCCAAGTTTAGCCAGGCTTTAACATTTCCTTTAGGAATAGTATGTTTTATATACTGTTTAGGAAATCTGTCCCCAAACTAAGGTCATGGAGATAATCACCTTGCATGTCTTAACAGAATTTTTATTGTCTCTTCCTTTTATATATAAGTATATAATCTACCTGCAAGGGATGTTGGGTAATGAATGAGCTTGGGGTCAGCATTCATTACTATTATGCCTGGATCTGTAATTAACTCAGCACAGGCTAACAGCAAAGCTATTTCCCCACTGCTTTCTCATGTTTCCTTTGCCATCAACCTGTGCCCATGTGTGGATGGATCTCTTTTCAGATTCTATGTTCTTTTATCTTTCCCTTCCTTGCACCAGTAACATTGCCGTGACCATGGCTTTAAAATAAGTCTTATTACTGGTCATGCAACTACCTCAGCTTCTTTCTTCCTTCCCTGCCTCTTCTAAATTTCCTTTACTTTTCCATGTGAATATTAGGATCAGCTTCATAGTGTCTTGGAAAACAAACAAAAATAGTCTTCTGGAATTTCGGCTGGGATTGCATGGAATCTACAGGTCAGCTTTAGAAGGATTAATATCACCAAAGTGTTGAGTCTTCCACTCCACGGACTTAGTATATTTCTACATACATCTTCTTTAATTTCTTTCATTAGAGTTTTTACCAGGAATCGTACATACACTTTACTAGACTTATTCCTAATTTTTGGTGTGTTTTTGAGGCTACTATAAATAGTATCATTGTAAAAACTAATCATCTTGCCGTTTGATGTGGGTATACAGAAATATGTTTGTGTTTTGCATCCAGCTACCTTATTCAATTTTTACGCATTAACAGATTCTGCCTCGATTCTTTTGTTCATTCTGCATACATAATCGCATCATCTGCAAGTGAAAAACTGCAGGAATTTCTTAAAATGTCATTCATGCACGTAGTACGTACCTTCATTTTGGGCCACATTTTACTGGATGTAGAATTCTCCCCTGGCAGTCCGTTTCACAAGGGCACTCTGAAAGTATTTCTTAGTCTTACGACCTCCGTGATCTCTCAGTCTCTTCTTCTTCAGATCATCTTCCAGTCTCTTGTTTCCACTCTTGAGGGCAAATTGTGTCTTTGTTCTGGCTGCTTGTAAGATTTCTCTCTTGGGCTTTGGTTATATCTGTTTCATAACGATGGCTCAAGGTTTATTATTGTTTGTATTTGTCCTGCTTGGAGTTTGTATCTCTTCTTCACCCCGTGTTCTTTCTCTGCATTCCTTCACTGTTCTTTCTCTTTCTTTCCTTCCTTTCCCCCTCATCTATCGTCTTGTTATTCTAATTACATATTTAGTATGGCTTTTTATGATGTCCCTTGTGTATGTGACTCACTTGTCTACATTTCCCTCCCATCTGGTTTTCTATGCTTCATTCTACTGGCCTATTCTCCAGTTAACCGATCTCCCCTTTAGCTGTGTTTAATCAGTTGTTAAACCCATATCCTGAACACCTGATGTCACTTACTGTGGGCTTTTTAAAGTTTAATAATTTTGAGAGAGAGGCAGAAAGAGAGGGGGAGAGAGAGAATCCCAAGCAGGCTCTGTGCTGTCAGTGGAGAGCCCGATGCGGGGCTCCAACCCACAAACTGTGAGATCATGACCTCAGCCGAAGCTGCATACTGAATGGACTGAGCCACCCAGGCGCCCCAGTTACTGTGTTTTTAATTCCAGTAAACAGCAAATATTTAACAGGACAGTTTCTGGACTCCATTGAAATTCCCTAACTTCCCCATTTATTTCATTTAAAGTGTTTCTTAGCCTTGGTTATAGTGCATGTCTGGTAGGTCATATATGTGGATTTCATGTTCTGGTGGCTTGATTTTGTTTCCTCTTGCTCTTCATTCATTTGGTCTTGTCTTGCTCTGTGCTAGTTGATTTTGGATAGCTGGCAAGACATTGTACGTGGAAAAATTTCTGGGGTCGTTGGAAGCTCTGATTCACAGTATCCTCATCCAGAGAGCATTGTGTTCTGTTTGGTTTTTCCTGGCGAGAAGCCTTCATACCGGTGGTTTGTCCACAGCCTATCAGAGATTGAGCTGGTGTGAAATCGGGCTTCTCTGTTTGTAAGAGCTGCTCTCCCGGCCCTCTGTTCAGGGGAGTCCCACTAAACAGGGTCCGTCTTGGACACCTCATCATTTATGGGTTCCTCAGCCTCGTGGCCCTGCTGGACCGTCTGGCCAGATTCTTCTCTACAGCCTGCTGGTTGCCTCAAGGGGAAATAAGATGCCAGATGTATTTATAAAATTCATCTTACAAGCTCAGCCCAGCCCGCCTGCATGATTTCTGCAGAGTGCTTGCAGGGAGAGTTGAATACATCGACGTTGTCTAGTCTCTGGGGGTGACTGATTGGCTTAGTCTTGCAGAAGCCTTTGCAGCATGTATGGCCCCCAGCCTGTGGGCTCAAGCTTGCTTGATTGTGAATTGGTCAGGCTTGCTGTATAACAAACGGCCCCAAATAAGGGAAAATCTATGCCCGTGTCCTAGTCAGCTGCAGTGACAAAGAGACGCGTGGCTCTGTGCAGTCAACGGGGGGCCCGGGATCTTCCTGTTGTTCTGGTCCAACTGCTTCTCGGGCCTCCCTTCTCTGCTGTGGCTCCCTGAGAGAGAATTAGGATGCCTTGCGGAAGTCAGCCATTGCACGCAATGCGTTATGCTGTCTCCTGAGCCCCTGGGATGATCTTAGCTGCATACCGTCCTTGGAAGAGTTGAGAAACTAGTCCCTCAAATTGCTTTCCGTAGGGGTTTGTTTTCTGGTGGAACTCCAGGTGAAGTAGGTTGGAGGGATCTTGTCCTTCGCCTGACCGGTGAGCAAAGAGGGTAAGGAGCGTGTATTCTGCCTTACTGGAGGCCCATGACATCTCAGTCGTGTGGGTGACAAGTCACGGTGTGGCTCCACTTAGGGGCACGGAGGCTGGGATGCTTGCGCCCGAGATCGAGGAGTAGACACGGGCACTGGTGAGCCCGGCACTGCCTGCCCCCACGTCTCCCTTGTCAGGTTGCCTTTGTATCGCGGATGCAGGGAAGAGAGGTTGGGTGCTTTCAGATATTTGCAGGAGCGTTGACCTAATTTGCTTTTCTTTTTTTCTTTGTAGCAGACGATAGGGTGGCCTGAACTTGAGACCTCCACTGGAGTGAGGTGTGAGCCATTATCACTACCCTCCCCGCAATGTGCAGACTCCGCAGAGGCCCAGCCCACCTCGGTACACCTCATTTGTGCTCCTCATGCCCGTCTTTTTTCTTCTGGTGTTGTTTTCTTGTCGTGTCCGTGTCCATCGGTACCAAAGACGATTCCCCGTGCTTTTCTTCTTCGTCCCATGTCCCTTTCGGAGTGGCTTTCTTCACCTCAAACACGTGGTGTGGTGACTAGTCTATGAAGGAACCTGGGCGTCTCTCCAGATTTTTTCCCCTCCTCCATCTTTCTGTTTCCCGCTGGTGATTTGGTTACTCCATATTCCTTTAGGAAGAAATTAGAAAGAACAAAGGTGTAACAACACCATGACATAAATTCTCCTTTTTTTTTTAAATTAAAAACTTTGATAGGATTTTAGACCCATGTTTAATATCAGTACTGAAGGATGATGAGCCCTACCCCCGTTTTTTCTAAATCTGGCCTCATGAATCTGGGCTGTCATTACCTTGCATCCTCAGAAGATTGAACTCAGAGGCTGCTCTGCTCCCTGAGAGATGAGCTTGGTAAAATGCTCCCATGGATATTTGGTATAACCTGTAGTCAACCCTTGGATGACACAGGGCTGCTGCATGGGTCCACTTAGACACGGATTTTTTTCAATAAATACGGTACTGTAAATGTATTTTCTCTTCCTTAATGACCGTCTTAATCACATTTTCTCTTTTCGAGCTTACTTTATTGTAAGAATGCAGTATATATACTTAGAACATAGAAAATAATGTGTTGATTGACTTTTTGTGTTACTGGTAAGGCTCTTGGTCAACAGTAAGCTAATAGTAATGTTTGGGGGAGTCCACCGTTATATGTGGATTTTCGACTGTGTGCTGGTCAGTGCCCCTAACCCCACGTTGTTCAGGGGTGAACTATAATTGAATCCCTGTCTGAAAAGTTAGCTTCGGCACATCCCATAAGAACTTCCAGCATCTCATCTTGTCGAGGAACGGTGGATGTCAGGGGAGAAGGTGAGAATAGGTGAGAGTGGTGGAGCCCATCTTTCTGGACTTTGCAGAAAAGGCCATTTAGCACGACACGTTCATTTGATCTTATGTTCCCTTGGCAAAGATTTCTCTGCCCTTGTGGGTAAGACTGTAGTTGCCTGAAGCCGTCCGCAGACTAACGATGACTGGTTGTGTCTCTAGCAGCCTGTGGATAAAGCAGAAAGTGGCCCGTCCGTGGACACCGTGGAACCAAGCCAGGAGCCCCCTGTGGATGTCAGCGGGGACCCCAGTCCTCAGGATTCTTTGGAGGTGGTACCTTAATTGTCTTGTCTCCTGGTGGATGCTGCCCACCATCTCTGGGGCCGGCAGCACTCACGCACCAACCGCTACCTCAATTTCCAGCCTGACTTTCTCGGACTAAGGCTCCGCCAGCCTCTCTTGGTGCTTCTGACCCACGTCTTTGTCCTTTGCAGCATTTGCCTGGGTTGCTTGTGGCCTCTTTCTTTCCCATCCTTAATCATGATGGTCTTTCCTCTCTTTTAAACGCTGTTCTGCTGAAGTTAATTGACCATCAGGGGCTTTGCTGTTTCTCTGTACGGAGAGCATGGAAACAAATGCTGAGGGAGCCATCGTCTCAGTTGACGAGGATAAAAGAAAAATCTGGGGGTAAACCCTTCTGATCCAAATGGCTCATGCAGTGCTTTCCTTTCTCTTCTGGAACGTTCTTAAATTTTCTTCTTTCTGTGCAGATATTTAATGAGAGCAATTGCTGAATTTTTTTTCTCACAGTGATTGAATGACCCTTTTGGACTTTAAGGAATAGTTAATTTGGTTCTAGAGCTGGGCGTGGAGCCTCTGATGAGCGTATTGAACATGTTTGTTCGTCCGTTTGAGCGGCTATAGCAGAAAACAATACATGGTACGGCTGACGCACAAGCTACATTTCTTTCTCTAAGTTCCGGGTGGCGGAAGTCCAAGGTGAAAGTGAGACCCGCTTCCTGGTGCACGGACGTCTGTCTTCTTGCTGTGTTCTCACACGGTGGAAGGGACGAGGAGCCCTCTGGGGTCCCTTTTATAAGGACACTAAGCGAATCCATGGGGACTCCGCCCTTACAACCTGACGACTTCCCAAAGGCCTTGCGTTCTCATACCTCATTCTATTGGGGGGTTGTAGGAATTTGGGGGAACAAAAATATTTAGTTTATAGCAATATTTGGAATATGGCTTACCACGTAATACGTATTGCAGTCTGCACGATGCCTTTACTAACAATTACCACTGGAGAAAATGTGAACGCTTTGTCTCTGGGTTAAGGTAGTAAATGCTCAAGGCACTATTTTGAACTTCATTCTAGAGCAGTTGGTGATGGGCTTTCTTCTGAAATTCTGCTGGTGAGTATGTGCAACGTGAGCCCATTCAGCTCCTGCAGTACGGCTTTGAGGCTCTGTGATTCCGATAAGTAGTGTTTAGGGGGTGACGTGGTTTGGGGGTGCCGCTCGGCAGACCTTATATAACAGCTCAGCCATGTGGTGGGTTTGGGATTGTTGGTGAGTTCATTACCTTCTCTGAGCATCCGTGAGGTGGACACGGTGGAGGGGGGAGGTCCCGCCTTGGAAAGCAGGGGGTGAGGCGTGGGGATTAGACCTAGGAGTGGTCGGGAAGAATGCGTGATTCGTGCCTGGCTCGTTAAGATTCTCAGCAGCCCTGTCAGCCCCACTGCGCCCCCAGCGGATGCCACCGGCCGGTAAGACCGCCATCTTCCTGGGCGATGCACCTGCTTCACTGGGACACATTCACTTTCTCCTCCAGCGTGTGTCTCTGCTGTAGTGTGGACAACGCTCAGTATTTTGTATCATTCCCTGTGTCATAAAATCCAGGGACTTCCTTGTTTTGTCAGATACGTACCTCCTCTTGTTATCATGGGTGATGCGGTCAGCCCACGGTTGTGTGTGGAGATAGTGTGACATGTGCGTGATGGGTCCTGTTAATTCCAGAAAGTTTTAGTTCCCAGAGAAGCACTGAGACCGAATCCAAGTGCTCACAGAGGAAAGAAGGTATTCTGGAGAAGATCTTTTTTTTCCGCCCACTCTTGCTGTTTCCTTGAGCAATAGGATGGCTTGAACACAATCCGTGTGAAGAAGAATAGAAAACAGAACGTTTTCCGTACAAACTCTTCACAAACACGGCAGCAAATGGAGTAGAAAGTGCCATAGCCCAGTGACCTCGAAGTTCTGTTGTTTATAAAATGTTTATTTATTTTGAGAGAGACAGAGACAGTGCAAACAGGAGATGGAGAGAGAGAGAATCCGAAGCAGGCTCTGCGCTGTCAGCTCAGAGCCTGGCTCGGGGCTCAAACTCACGAACTGTGAGATCATGACCTGAGCTGAGATCAAGAGGTGGACAGTTAACAGACTGAGCCACCCAGGTGCCCCCAGTGGCATCTAAATTAACCACCTGGCATCCAGTAACATCCATTGACACACAGTGTCTGGGGAATACCCGACTCACCTTTAACGTGTGTGTGTGTGTGTGCGCGCATGCGCACGCGCGCACGCACGCGCGTGTGTATTATGACCACATGCACATTTTTAGACATCTTTTTCTAATTCTTGGTAAGAAATTTTTAAAGCAAACATATTTACTACTTTTGTTGACCCATTTGCGTGCCAAGCAAAAGGGGTGTGTATATATGTGTTTGCACGTGTGTGTCTATATGTTATCTCATTTTTTTGCTCTAAGGAGGTAGAAACCTTACCATTTGTGAGCAGAAAACCACTGCGACTATTATTTCAATGGCTTTGCCAGGCCATCCAAACTACTGTAGGCTTTATTCACGTAGGGTGAACATCCTTCCTCTCGATTTCACGTAGTTTGATTATATGGTGAATCCAAACATTGAGGTTTTGGGTGGGTGGAAGCATCAAATAAGCCCAGGTGTGTGTCTCAAATGGTTGAGTGGCTAGAAGTGAAAACACTACTTCCTGAAAAGTGAACCCAAGTGCCATGATACTTTCTAAGACTCCACAAAATGTGGCCAGCAAGAGCAACTTCTCAGAATATTAGGTGAAACGCAGCACGTTTCTTGTTCAAAAGAGCTGAGATCCATTCGTAGTAGTGGTCGCTAAAGCGGAAGGGGTGTTAACGTCCGCGTGACTCCAGAGGCCATCTCCTGTCTCCTCGTCTTCCCCAGGTGGACCTGGCCGTGTCTGTTTTCGAGATCTCCATCGAAGAGAAGGTCAAGGCGCTGAGTCCCGAAGAGGAAAGGAGACACTGGGAGGAGGGGCACATCGATTACATGGGCAAGGATGCGTTCGCGCGTATCCAAGAGAAGCTGGACCGATTCCTGCAGTAGCCTGACGGGCGCTGCTGCCCGTGCGTGCTTAGAGGTCGCGTGCTGTTGCATGGTCCCATTGCGCGGACTTCTTCTCCAGACCCTTCAGGGGGAACAAGTGTTCAACTATGTGCCTCTATTTACGGCTGACCCACCTGAGTGCCTCACAAAAATAATGTAGACCATAAAAAGCCCAGCTTGAAGCCTTCCCCAATGCCCCAAGCTCTCTATGCCTTATTGGCTGCCCCCCTGAGAAGTCCGTTCTTTTCGGCCAATGGGAGCAGCGATAAACTTCTCGTAGACCCTTGTTCGTGCTCCCTGGTCTTGTTCCGAGATGCGCCTTGGGCAGGTGCTACCATATCTATCCTACGTAGGGTGAGAGGTCACCGCACGTTGACTTCCGCCCCTAAGCTAACGGCGCCGGTATATGCATTCAGGAACCCTCAAGGATGGAAAGCCCTTTCCCTCAGGACTAGGTAGACATCTTGAGGGTGAGTCTCATGTAGACTTTGGGGATCATGTCTGAGAAACCCGATGGCTGTTTCTCTTCTGCAAAACCCAACGGGACTGCCACGTGCCGTTGACTGGCGCCCAGTTGGGGAACTGATGGGGGTGATGTGGAAGGCACCTTCTAGCTGGCTTGGGAGAGAGAGCATCTTCTTGGTTTGGAAGAACCAAGGGCTTAGTCGGGTTCTGGCCACAGCTTGCTCACACTGAGAGGACCTCGAGAGGTTCTTTGTTTAGAGGCAGATCCGTTTGCAGTCCGCCCACTTGACTGCGCCTCGCTGGATATCACTACCTCAGCCTAAATAACGGGGCCAATCACCGTGTTCTCCATTTCAACTCAACTGTTTTGGGAACAATTCTCAGTTTTATGAGACAGGATGCTTTACCCCACGAGAAATCCTCATCTCCAGAAGTGTCCTGATCTTGCGAATCCATGCCGGGTGCTGCAACGCCTCACAGGGCTGTGGCCACCACAATTACGATTAAAGACAGGCGTCACTGAGCTAAAGAGAGCGAAATGTGATTGTTTTTGAACGTTACAGTGGTGTGTCTTGCACGTACTAGAGAACATCGAAGGATTTCGTGCACAGGTTTGGACCACATGGTAATGGCTGTGTTATAACCTGGTGGGTGTGTTTGGCCATGTTTTACATCATGTCAAACAGGTGAGCCCTTGGGTAGTAGGTGAATGTGGTGAGTCTATGACCTAAGTTGCGGTGTGAGTTTTGCACAATGTGAGTCACAGAGGGTTTGTTTCCTTTGGCTCCGGAAGGCTAACGGTGTGTGCTCTTCATTGATATCACACACAGTTTGCTTCTGGGGCTAATTGAAGATGGCCATACAGATATAGCCTTAGAGGGATTGGGTGGGAATGGTCCTCAACCATCAGAATAACACCATCCATTTATTCTGGGCAAAGGCTGTGGGTGTTCTGTGCTGTGGCGTTGGGTTGTGGACGACAGGAGTCCAAGTCTGACATACTTCAGAGGAGCCCAGATGATGAATATTCGAGTCTCGTTTATCTTCTGTGGGGAAGACTGTTTCCGAACAGCGGTTCATTGGCTTAATGTATACGTTCAACACAGACTTCTGTTATGCATTCTAGTCTCTATCTGCCGATTTGAATGGATGCTAACGCATTAAATTAAAAATTTAAAACAGCAATATGGTGTCCCTTCTGGTGTCTGTTTGCGTGTGCTCTGAGCATCAGGATATCAGGATAATATTTTATACGTAACAGAGGGAAGGGGTGTGCTTGTGTTTGTGTTGTACAGTAAATTTAAATCACCACAGTATTTTCAGAATTGCTAGTGACACTAAAATGCATGTGACTGTTTACTTCTCACTGCGTGAAATTCCCTGAGGAATTTTCCTAGCATTGTTTCTCAATGTCACACATTCATTCATTTGTTCAGTTCATCCCTCCATCCCTCCATGGATCCATTCACCTACCAATCAGTCCGTCCATCCATCCATCCATCCATCCATCCATCCATCCATCCATCCATTTATCCATCCATTTATCCATCCATCCACCCATCCATTTATCCATCCATCCATCCATCCATCCATCCATCCACCCATCCATCCACCCGTCTGTCCATCCGTCTGTCCGTCCATCCGTCCATCCGTCCATCCATCCATCCATCCATCCATCCATCCATCCATTCACTCATCCATTTATCCACCCATCCATTTATCCATCCATCCATCCATCCATCCATCCATCCATCCATCCATCCCTCCCTCCGTCCACAGACCCATCCACTCACCGACACATTAATCCATCCGTCCGTCCATCCATCCATGCATCCATACATCCACCCGTCCGTCCGTCCATCCATCCATCCATCCATCCATCCATCCATCCATTCACCCATCCATTTATCCATCTATCCATCCATCCATCCATCCATCCATCCATCCATCCACCCATCCACCCATCCACCCATCCACCCATGCATGCATCCGTTCATCCATTGATCCCTCCACAGACCCATCCACTCACCGACACATCCATCCATCCATCCATTGACCCATTTATCTACTCCTCCCTCCCTCCCTCCCTCCTTCCCTTCCTTCCTTCCCTCCGCCCTTCCTTCCTTTCTTCCTTCCTACCGTTTTTCCATGGCTATTGAGTCCTGTGTGTGGCAGACACTGTGACATGAGCGTATTCAGTAAGTGAGACATTCAAAACCATTCTGAGGCTTCTAGGTAACATCCACGTAGCAGGTGTGATACGATGTGTTACCTGAATAAAGCCAGAGCCAGCATCTGTGGTATGTGATGTCAGGACCACAGCGTCGTAGGAGCTGAGTCCCCCAGAGGTGTGATTTGACCTATACGATCACTAGTGTTTTGGTACTTAGGAGGATTGGCTGTGTGTGTGTGTGTGTGTATGTGTGTGTGTGTGTGTGTGTTTACATTTTATTGCTCTGGAAATATTATCAAATCATTACTTGGACACGGAGGCACTTGGAGATATACTGACTTTGTAGGATGGGTGAAAGTGTGTAGATGTAGGGAAAGTACTTTTTTCTCTTCTCCCCAAATCCCGTGGTCATACCTTGCTGGAGGCTGTGCGTGGTCCTTGAATGCTCGTGATGGGCCCCAGCATCACGTGTTGGTGCAGGGCTGCAGGCAAGCTGAAGCGGAATGGGGGTCTTGTTTCTGGGGACCCTTCCAGAATGAGGAGCAGCACACCAGTTACCGTTTTGTGTGCCTCTCAGTCATGCATCTCTTCTGTAGTAGGAAGACGTGCACATCTTTTGCCCATTGATGTGATGTTTGTCTGTTATGGGGTCATAATCATTTGGGAATCCTTCCCTCCCCATCTGTGGCTTCTCTGCCTTTTCTCATGGTGCTCTTTGAATTTTTTTTATGCTTTTATTTTATTTTGAGAGACAGGGACAGCGAGCGGGGGAGGGGCAGAGAGAGAGGGAGACACAGAATCCGAAGCAGCTCCAGGCTCCCAGCTGTCAGCACAGAGCCCGACGCGGGGCTCGAACCCATGAACAGTGAGATCATGACCTGAGCTGATGTTGGACGCTTAACCAACTGAGCCACCCAGGCGCCCCTTTATGGTGCTTTTCGAAGCACACAAGTTTTGAATTTTGCTCGTTTATCAAGTTTTTTTTTAAAAAGTAGATGAGGCTGTAGGCGTCTTATCTAAAATATCCTGGAGCGCCTGCGGGGCTCAGTCGGTTAAGCGACTGACTTCGGCTCAGGTCATGATCTCACCGTCCGTGAGTTCGAGCCCCGCGTCGGGCTCTGTGCTGACAGCTCGGAGCCTGGATCCTGCTTCTGATTCTGTGTCTCCCTCTCTGTCTCTCTCTGCCTCTCACCTGTTTGTACTGTCTCTCTGTGTCTCTCAAAAATATAAATTAAAATGTTTTAAAATTTTTTTTCTAAGAAATAAATAAAACGTCTTTTCCTAACCAAAGAGGATGAATATTTTCCCTTGAGTTTTAAAATTTTTTTTCTCGAAAATTTTGCAGATTCCTCTTTTACGCCTGGGTCTCTGGAGGGTTTGGGAGTCCACGCTTCTGTTGAGAGATCGAGGGTCTGAATGGGTGTTTTTGTGGGGGTGGCGAGCAGCTGTTTCTGGACGCCCCATCGCCTCTGCGACATTTCCCTAGTTTGGGGATTTGAGTGCAGCCCCAGCCGCGCCACGCCCACAGCGGGCTCACACTCACACTCACACTCACGCGGAGCTTGCATGAGGGCGAGGGGGAGGCACGGCCCTAGGGGTTCAGCAGAGCCTCGTTTGCTGTGTCTGCAGCCTGAGCACCGGGGTGTGGGAAGAGGTGCGTCTGGCCCGGGGGCACTGAGTCGGCGCACAGCCCGTCTAACCGGTTAGGCTGGTGGCCAACGTTTAACCGTAACTCACCTGGCAGGAGCCTCAGAGATGAAGATGGGGCACGTTCAGTCCGTCATAAATCAGCTCTACTGGCCCCGCGGGCACGGGTGGCGGGGGGCATCCGTCCTGGAGCCCCAACACTAGGAGCCAACCCCTCCGGACGAAGGTCTGGGGGCAGCCCGCCTTCCCGGGGCGCCTTCCCCAAATCCCTCCCACTCCCCTTCCTGCTTCAGGGCCGCTTATCTGACTTGGTTTTGCATACGGTGAAATGACGCAGGTTTGCACTCCGCCCGGTGTTTTGAGAGAGCAGAGAAGTTTCACTCAACAAGACTGACTCACAAGAAGCAGACAAGAAAGTCGTAAAGGAGGAAAGAAACACGAAAGAAGCCCAGAGGGGGGTTTCTTGCACAAATTCCAGAGGCTTAGAAGCCACCCGGCCCCGCGAAAGGCGCTAAGTGAGTAATTTGGGGTTGAAGCGATGTATCAGCACCTTGGTCAAGTCCAAAGCCAAGGTGGCCCAGCTTGGCAGCCGACGAGATTACCCCTGAATGGAGCCGGGCAAGTCCGTGCCCACTTAAAAGACTCCATTTTCTCAATTCCCAATTGTTCCTTGTTGGTTTGTTTAAGCTATTTTTAAGTTTATTTCTTTATTTATTTTTTAAAAATATTTTTATTTATTTCTAGGAGAGAGAGAGAGACAGCGTGAGCAGGGGAGGGTCAGAGAGAGAGGGAGTCACAGACTGAAACAGGCTCCAGGCTCCGAGCCGGCAGTCAGCACAGGGCCCGACGCGGGGCTCGAACCCACGAACCGCGAGATCGTGACCTGAGTGAAAGTCGGACGCTCAACCGACTAAGCCACCCAGGTGCCCGTATTTATTTATTTTTGAGACAGAGAAAGAGAGGCAGTGAGAGAAGAGACGGAGAATCCCAAGCAGGCTCCGCACTGTCGGCACAGAGCCCGACGTGGGCCTCGAACTCACCAAGCGTGAGCGCCCGACCTGAGCTGAAATCCAGAGTCAGAGGCCCAATCTCCCGAGCCACGCAAGCGCCCTCTACAGTGGTTTCCGTGGATGGCCGTGGGGAGGGGGAGTCTGCGTTTAGGATTTTTGTAGAACCCCCTTCACGGGTGCTGACTCTGCTGGAGAATTGCCCTTCCTCCTGCAGCCGGGAATGTCTGTGTGCTGCCCGGAGCTGCCGCAGCCATGTTGAGGCCACGAGGCAGAGGCTGGGATGGCAGAGCCTGGCGTTGGCGTGAGGCTGCCAGCCCTGGGCTGCTCCCGTCTATTGTTCGTGGCGCCTATTCCCAGGGTCTGTCACGAGCAGCCCCCAAAATAATCTCTGAGAAGAGGAGGCAGCATACTTTGACCTCCCCTGCCTAGGGCTGACCCAGACGCCATGCAGTCCCAAATATGCTTTAAGATGAATGGGCACAGAAATCAGACGTCGGCGCTTTGATAACCCCCGAGCTCTGGGAAATTAGGACTGGGGGGGTGGGTGCATTATTGGGTGTCCACTGGGATCGTCTTCTTTCACAGATGAGAAAGTGGAGACCCACTCCCTGCCCATGAGAGCCTCCTCCAGAAAGGGGACCCCCACCTCTGCTTTTCACTGTGCTCGCTCTCTGGGGTCCCCCGGCCACGTCCTGGCATTTGAGGGAGGTTTTAAACATTTATTGCTCAGGGGCGCCTGCGTGGCTTAGTCAGTTAAGCATGCGACTTCGGCTCAGGTCACCATCTCCCGTTCGTAGGTTCGAGCCCCGCGTCGGGCTCTGCCCGGATCTTATTTCCAATTCGGTGTCTCCTTCTCTCTCTGCCCCTCCCCTGCTCATGCTCTGTCTCTGTCTCTGTCTCAAAAATAAATAAACATTAACAAAATTTTAAACATTTGTCGCCCAGCTTTATTGGGGTACAAGTGACAGATACAACTGCATGTATTTATGGTGCATTGCAGCGTTCAAGTGTGCAACACGGTATTACGAGCTGTGATCTACGGGCAGACCCCTTACAAGCACAAGCTCGTGCCCAAGTGACCCCCGTCCCCATCTCCCCCCAGGCCACGGCGGCCACTACTGTAGCCTCGCCTTCTAGGACTTTTCATTTCCTCCGGGCGGATCCCCAGGAGTGCGATGACTAGACTGGGGGGTAAGTGCCTTCCTGTTCTCCAGAGTGGCTGCGCCAGTGTGCATTCCCAGCAACAGTGCATGAGCGTCCCTTTCTGTGCACACGCTGGCCATCTGAGCTGGACGGCGGGCATCACGGCCGCTGTGCGGTCAGGCCTCGGGGGGGTCTCCGTGCTCGGTGCAGGCACAGAAGGGGAAGGTCCCACAGCACGGCTGGAGCCACGGCTTCCAGACGATGTTGCTCAGGGAGAACTGAGGGGTCACAGGGGTCAGGGTCGCCCTGTGCCGTCCCACCGCCTCGTCCACCCGGGCCAGCACCGCGCGGTGCAGGGGCTCCGAGCCAGGGGACAGGGGCCGTGCCTCCGAAGGGTCCCTGGCGAGGTCGAACAGCAAAGGCGGGCTGTGCTGGGTCACGCCATCCCCGGAGCATGGGCACAAGCCTTGGTCGTAGCAGGCGCCCGCCCCCGTTGGGTGGAAACGGGGGGTCATGTAGTGGACCTTCCAGAGTCTTCCGGCTACAGGCAAACGGGGCGGTGGTGAGGGCTCAAGAGCCAGCACTGCGGAAAATCCCCAGCACCCCGTTCACCGGAAAGACAGGAGAGAAGAAACTGGGAAGCTCTTGTAAGTTTGAAAACAAGTCAAGTCATTGTGTGTGTTTGGGGGTGGGGAGCACACGTGTGTCTGTGTGGTGTTGTCCAGGCACACACAGGCCACGGGACTCATCCCAGGGTGCTCAGTGAGGGTCCGCGGAGAACAGTTACAGGACAGACTCAAGGGTAAGAAGGAACGACTCACGGCACAGACGGTGAGTTTCATGCGTCATCGTGGCCGGGCCGTGGCGCCCAGACACGTGGTCACACACTAACCTACGTGTCACTGTGGTGTTTGATTTCTAGAGGAGATGAACCTTTCCATCAGTAGACTACCCTTCACATGGTGGGTGGGCCTCACCCAATCAGTTGAAGGACACAGCAGAAAGCAGACAGAGTGGCTCCTAAGAGGGAGGAATTCTGCCTCCAGAGAACAACACGGAAATTCTGCCTGACTTTCCAACCTTTGGGCTCAAGATGGCAGCATCCACAACAGGCTGCTGGCCGGCCCTGAAGATTTCAGACCTGCAGGACCCATGGGCACATGAGACAATTCTGTAAAATCTCTCTCTGTTTCCATCCACCCACCCGTCCATCCGTCATCCATCCATCCATACACCCATCCATCCATCCGTCCATCCACCCATCCATGCATCCATCCACTCAACCTTCCATCCATCCGTCCATCCACCTATCCATCCATCCATCCGTCCACCCATTCATCCATCCACTCAACCATCCATCCACCATCCATCCATCCATCCATCCATCATCCATCCATCCATCCATCCACCATCCATCCGTCCATCCATCCACCATCCATCTGTCCATCCATCCATCTGTCCATCCATCCATCCATCTGTCCATCCATCCATCCATCTGTCCATCCATATGCCAATCCATCCATCCATCCATCCGTCCATCCACTCAACCACCCAGCCATCCATCCACCCATTCATCCATCCATCCGTCCATCCATCAACCACCCAGCCATCCATCCACCCATCCATCCATCTATCCATCCGTCCATCCACCTATCCATCCATCCATCCGTCCACCCATTCATCCATCCACTCAGCCATCCATCCATCCATCCATCCATCCATCCATCCATCCACCCATCCATCCATCTATCCATCCACCATCCATCTGTCCATCCACTCAACCACCCATCCATCCATCCACCCATTCATCCATCCATCCATCCATCCATCCATGCACCCATCCATCCATCCCATCCATCCATCCACATAGGTCTTTATCTTCTATCTGTATCATCCACCCATCTACTCTCTACCTATCATCCATCTATCTTATTATCAATTACTCAGTCTATCCTATCTATCATCTGTCCATCATCTATCTATCATCTAACCATGCACCCATCATCTATCATGTATCTGCAAATCCATCCATCCATCCATCTACATCTGTCTTTAACTTCTATGTCTGTCATCCCTCCATCTACTATCTACCTATCATCCATCTATCTCATTAGCTATTAATCAATCTATCCTATTACCCATCCATCATCTATCTGTCATCTATCCATCATCTATCACCTGTCTACCCTTCCATCTATCTGCCCATCCCCCATCCACCCTCCATCCATCCATGCACTCATCCATCCACCCATCCATCCATCTACTCTATATCTGTAGATCTGTCCATCTATCTACTCTATATCTACCCATCCATCCGTCCCCCCATTCATCTGTCCATCCATTTATCCATCTTCACTTGTCTTTATCTCTATCTCTATCATCCATCCACTATCTACCTATCATCCATCTATCTCATTAACTATTAATCAATGTATCTTATAATCTATCCATCATCTATCATCTGTCTACCCTTCCCTCCATCCATCCATCCACCATCCATCATCCACCATTCATCCATCCACCCATCCACACATCTACCCATCCACCCATCCGCCCATCCATCCATCCATCCACCCACCCATCCACCCATCCACCCATCCATCCATCCATCCATCCATCCATCCATCCATCCACCATCCACCCTCCATCCACCCTCCACCCTCCATCCTACACACTCTTGGTTCTGCTTCTCAGGGGAGCCCTGACTAATGCCAGCCCCTCCCGCCAGCAGAGAAGGGCAGGCACTCACTGTGTTTCTCGTGCCAGCGTGCCGCGTGGAGATACTTCCCGCAGTAGTGAAACATGAACTCGTGTGCAGAGTGCTCGGCTGTCCCTTGCAACAAGGGCACCAGGCTACGGCCATCGATCACCCTGATTCAGTGAAGAGACACAGGAAGGAATCAAACTTGAGACTCCAAGCGTGCAGGGGTCCCCGCCGAGGCCAAGGGGAGCAGCGATGAGCTGTGTCCCCAAAATCATGCAGATTGGAAGCTGCTGAGCAAGATGCATGCCGTTTTCAGACACAGAGCCACTAAGTCGTGGGCTCGTTTGTACCGTAGCACGACAAAGCAGTGTGCACTCAGGCGCACGCAGTGTTCCCGCCTCGCATGTTAATGCAAAGTCCTCTTAAATTCTGGCTGGACTGTCCAGGCCCCTGGCTTGACTGTTAACGCTGCAAAATCATAACACAATATATGATTTAAAACCATAACGGACTCCAAGGTGCGTTGTCACATGTCTATAGGAGCTGGATCAGGGAAGCCAGTAATGGCCATGGACCTGAAGAGTCTTCTGTACAAACAACTTGTATTTTTAAAAAGTCCTTAATCTGAACTGAATGTAGCAATGTCGTTATTTTTCCTTTTATTTTAGCTGTACCCTAGTTGTGACGGTTCCGTCTTCTGAGTCTACGTGGCTGGGTTATGGTGCCCGGTGATTTGTGAGACACCAGTCTAAAGGTTACCGTGAAAGCGTGTTTTTTTTTTTTTTTTTTTTTTATATATGGTTAACATCCACAGTCAGTGGACTCTGAGCAAAGCGGAGCACCCGTGAGAATGAGGGTGGGCCTCACCCAATCAGGTGAAGGCTGCCAAGAGCAAAGACTGAGATTTCCCAGAGAAGACTGAATTCTGTCTCAAGACTCTGACACGGAAATTCTGGCTGTCTTTCCAGCCTGCTGGCCTGACATGACATGACGATCTCAGTTTAGCAGCCTCCACGATTGCACGAGCCAATTCCTTAAAATCAAGGTCATATTTTATAAACATGCATACACATACTTGCATACATACGACTAGTTTTGCCTCTTTTATTGACTATTTATTTGTCGTCTTCAAAGGAGTAAAACCAAATCATTAGGAAAATATTTACTTCTTGGGGCGCCTGGGTGGCTCAGTCGGTTTGGCATCTGACTTCAGCTCAGGTCGTGATCTCACTGTCTGTGGGTTTGAGTCCCGTGTCGGGCTCTGTGCTGACAGCTCAGAGCCTGGAGCTGCTTCAGATTCTGTGTCTCCCTCTCTCTCTGCCCCTCCCCCACGCACGCTCTGCCTGTCTCACTCTCAAAAATAAATAAATGTTAAAAAAATTTTAAATATTTACTTCTTATTTTTAACCAAGTATTAGCATGCGCCTTTGGTAATGTACAGATATCGAGATGACAAATCATTTTTAAAGCACGCTGTCACAGTCTCATCCATATATGGGCAAGACTGCATTTTCAGGAAATCATAAGGGGATGTTTTTCAATGGACCGACTTTTCCTGCTTTAATCTACCAACTGTTACGCTGAGTAATTAAATTTTACCAAAACGGCAAAACTAGTCAATGGACCTAATCGTGTATTTAATGTTTTACCGAGTACGGTTATTTTAGGTTGTCAGACTGTCCCCTACAGCCTTTTCAGTGTTCTCACGTTGTGATCGGTTTTATCCCCTGTGTGTGAAATAGTAAGCGGGCGGCTGTCAGGAAGTGGGCACCAGAGGGTCGCATTGTGTGTACCTGTCCTGGGGCACCTGGCCGCCCCCCAGCTCAACCACGGTGGGGAAGACATCCATCAGGCTGGTGGGCTCGTGGATCACTCGGCCGGCCGGCAGCACCCCAGGCCACCGGAAGATGCCAGGGACGCGGATGCCGCCTTCCCAGCCCCCCATCCCTTTGCCACCTGTAAGGAAGGGCCGTTAGGGTTGTCCACCTGCGGGTGGAATCCACACACACAGCTGGGCACACCTGTCTGCGTGCACCTGGGCACCCACGCCCGTAGACGCACACCGCGGCAGCCTGCCTTTCCCAGAAATGGTTGTGGCAATAATTCCAGAACCTCATCACACCCCCACGGGCATGTGGAGCGCGTATGGTCTCCCCTCGCAATCCAGGGGGCGCTTCTGAGCGCCAGAACTAACGGTGTGCAGCGCGCGGCTTCAGGGATGTAACGGTACTGGAATTTCACACCGTGCACGGCTGGTGACCCCCACCTTCCTCCATCCGTTTTCTTTCTGGAAGGACTGAGAATTGGGTCTGGGACCACCTCCCCTCCCCCACTTCTCTTCCTCCCGCACCTGATCCTTTACGCCTTTCCTGGTTCTTCCTCATTTCTGGGCTGCTTGGCAATGGTTGAGGCCCAGGTTGGCTCTTGGGGAAACACATCTAATACTGAGCATTAAGCAACATGCTTACATTGCCTAGAAACTCTGGATCCGGGGGTTAAAGAAATCTTATGTTCGAGAAGGAGGGGCTTAAGCAGGGAAGGATGGGTTCAGAGTCACGCTAAATAAAGGCTTCTTTGCCACAGTTCAAATTAGAATGCGCTTCCCTTCGTGTTCTGCCGCCGTGTAAGGAGTTACTGAAAATCAGCCGCTTCATTCTTGTGGATCTGGTCTCGGGTCTATACGGTGGGCGTGGATTGGTGGGCATTGTGTTCTGGGCCCCACAGTCAGAATTCAAGGTTTCGACTGTTTGTAGAACATACTATTGGGAACAGTAAGAATCCACCATAAATGAACCGGTTATATCTTGGGCATGTGTATGAAGGATCAGAGGAAAAATCCACTACCGAGGGATAGGATCATAGAGGGTCAGTGATGTTCTACAGAGTCGCCCCAAACACCCAGTGAGCCAAGACTGAACCCCAGCTCCTGGCTCAGTTCCTGGGAGACTCTGGTCTCTGTGTTTTCATCAGCCGGTTGGTATATTTCTGTGTGTTTTGTTCAAACATGCCTTGCTGTGTAGACACTGTGATTCATTGACATTGGACTCACAGCCAACAGCGTCCATTCTGGATCTAACACACTGATTTTCTCCGTGAGGCATGGCATCGTAGGCTTTTTGCCCCCAGACACAGGGGACGGCTTTTGGTGCTCTGGTCCAGAGCCACTTGAAGCAGCAAAGTCGCCAGCCAAAAGCAAACAAAACCACAAAAATATGGCCATGAAAAAAGATCTGTGTTCATAGTCTGAGAGACAAAATATAAGCCCAGGGTCACCTCGTCCAGCCTTAGCTGGGAATGTGCCTGTCAGGTGACCAATATTTTTATTTCTCTTCAAGAGTGCAAAGGCATCGTAAGTATTGATTTTGGGTCTACAGATAAATTTTAGCGAGCAGGAGAATTCATAAATATGGAATCCATGAATCACATGCAGCGACTCAGACTTTAAAAAAAATGGGAGTATAAAAGTTATGATGTGCTAAGTCTTGCATAATATAGTAAAATACAAGGACCCATATAATTAGGGTTCCAGTTACGGTGCTATCTTTTATTTGGCATGGCATTTATTTTACCTTAATCGTTTATTTGTGCGTCTCCCTCTTCTACTGAAATGTAAACTCTTTATGGGAAGGTCAGGTGTCTTTTTTTCTCTCCTTTGGCATCTGGTAGAATTTGGTGAATAGTCACGACTCAGGAAATCCCGCTGTGACACACACTCTTGGGGCGCCTGAGGGGCTCAGTGGTTGTTGAGCATCTGAGTCTTGATTTCAGCTCAGGTCGTGAACCCTGGGTCGTGGGATCGAGCCCCGCGTTGGGCTCTGTGCTGAGTGTGGAGCCTGCTAAGGATTATCTCTCCCTCTGCCCCTCCCCTACTCACACTCTTTCTCTCTAGCACTCTCTCTAAAATAATAATAAATAAATGAAAGAAAGAAAGAGAGAAACAGAAAGAAAGAAAGAGAGAGAGAAACAGAAAGAAAGAAAGAGAGAGAGAGAGAGGAAGGAAGGAAGGAAGGAAGGAAGGAAGGAAGGAAGGAAGGAAGGAAGGAAGGAACTACACACTCTTTTCCCCTCTGCTTGCTCTCCTGTCTCCACTGCTGAGATTCATTGGGTGGATCACGTATGTGCCTTTTCTCACCTCTGAATATTCCATTCCATCCCCCCAGCTGGCCATGCTCATCTCTTGCCTCCAAATGTCCTCCGTGATCAGAGGTGAAATATGTGAATGTCGTATTTTTCAAACCGTGTTCTTCGATGGCCTGAATGATTTCGCCTTTAGGAAAAACAGAACATTTTAGAACAGAGCCAATAATCCAGCATCACCGAATTCAACCCAAAGTTCCCCTTTCTTGCTAGGAAGTCTCCAAAGTGGATTCTGCAGTCACCAGAGACCGATGTTGTACATGTTATCGCCAAGTGTCAACGCCTATCGGATTTTCCTGATGCCACAGGATTCAGAATCTTGCTTACAAAGGTATCACCGAAGCAGAAAACAGAATAAATGCCCAACGCCATAGAGTGTTCTGAACATGCATGGTTGGCGTGCGTACACGCGTCCATGATGAGTGCATGGGGTGGCGACCTGGGGGAAAAGGTTTGACGGGAGACCCCTGTTGGGACATAAGGAAGCCAGACCTGTGAGCATCTGTCTGTGGGTGTTGGCACACAGGGCCCAAGGCTCAGGAGGCAGAGCCACGTACAAGCCAAGTGCCTGCCTTATCCACAGACACCAAACTCCCATCAAAAGCACTGAAAGTGAAGATTTTAGAGCACCTGAAAATGCAGGTTTTTAAAACAGTATGTAATACACCATCCCATTTCGAGGTTGTCTGCTTCTTACCTTGGCCTCCCACATCACTGTTTCTCCCCCACATCCCTCAGCTCTGCAAGGATTTAGATGTCTACGTCTTTCTAAAAATCTCTATACACTTGACAGAAGTGTGTGTGATACAGTGCATCAGCTTCAGTGCAAGCTGCAAACAAATACAATCTACGATCTCATTGGCTCTCTCCAGGCTTTGTTGGGGCCACAGAAGGAAAGATGTGTTGGTCTGTTGTCTTGAACAATAGGTTCTTGCTTCATTTTCTGTAATGTCTCATGGCGGCTTTAAATAACGCACTTCATAGAAGGGTGATTTTGTGCAGAAGTAGACTGAAGAATCAGAAGTGCTGAAGGAGCATGTGAATGATAAGGGAAGTTTCTCCCTAACCTTTGACTTTTTTTCAACATTTATTTACTTTTGAGAGACAGAGAGAGACAGAGCGAGAGCAGCAGAGGGTCAGAGAGTGAGAGAGAGACAGAATCTGAAGCAGCTCCAGGCTCCGAGCGGTCAGCACAGAGCCCGACACGGGGCTCGAACCCACGAACTATGAGATCATGACCTGAGCTGAAGCCGGACGCTTAACTGAATGACCCCCCAGGTGCCCCGTTATTCTTTATTGCAACCTGGTTAACAGGGAGGTGGTCCTTCTGTTACCAAACTCGAGCAGCCACTCCAAGAATGAATGAGGATCAGTTGAGCATTGACTTACCTACCAGCCAATCCATTTCCTCGACATTGTCGCCGTATAAGCCGTGCCGGCTTTTCCCGAGAAATCGTTTTGTGGTGGCCAGGGGGAGGTGCACGTGGAGCATGGACACAAACAGGAGGAATGGCCTGTGCTTATTTCTGGAAGCAGAAAAACACCCTTCAGATACAATGGCACCTGTTGCGACACTATTTGGTCCACCTGAGCCCCTGAAAACCATCTCCCCACTGAGGCTGGTTGAGCAAACCCCAAAGATGATAAAGAGACTTGGGTGCTCTGAGAAGTCACCTCCTCTTTAAAATATGATGCTATTGGGGCGCCTGGGTGGCTTCATCGGTTAAGTGTCTGACTCTTGATTTCAGGTCAGGTCAAGATCTCATGGTTCATGGGTTCGAGCCCCACGTGAGGCTCAGCACTGACAGTGAGGAGGCTGCTTGGGATTCTCTGTCTCTCTCTTCGTCTCTCAAAATCAATAAGCTTAAAAAATAACATCAAAGGTGATGGGTTTATTACCTTACAATATAGGAAACTGCCTCCCGTAGCATGAGACGCGCCGTCCGCTCCAAAACCATGGGCTGCTCTGTGACATCGTGGTTTCTCATGAGGATACAATTCCAACGACGTACGAACCCGAAGCTGGCGTACCAGGAGGCAAAGAAGAGGAAGACGAGGCTGGCGACACTCAGGACTGCTTTCCGGGACACGGGCACCAACCCGCAAATCCTGCCGAGAGCGACGGTCAGCGCTCCCAGTGCCGCCACCTGGGTGTAACGCCACAGCCTCGCTCTCGTGCTGGCGTCCACCTCCGGGGGCCTGCCCGGGTCACAGTCATTTACAAGCGTGAAAGGCATGCCATAGAAATAGTCGAATCCGTGGTTCAGCGGGTGGTGGCAGTGGTCGGTGCGGGACTCACAGTTCACGCCCTGGTGCCATTTTCCTGAAAGTGAGAACGGGCCGTGAGATGAGAACACACGTGTGAGGTGCTCTGTCCGATAGGAATCAGCTTTCCAGTAACTCGGATGTTCCGATGAAAAATATGGTATGCGGTCGGCAAAAGTTGAAAGAGAGAAGGAATGTAATGGGGGCACCTGTGGGGCTCCATCGGTTGAGAGTCCGACTTCGCCTCAGGTCGTGGTCTCACGATTTGTGGGTTCAAGCCCCGCGTAGGGCTCTGTGCTGACAGCTCAGAGCCTGGAGCTGCTTCAGATTCTGTGTCTCCCTCTCTCTCTGACCCTCCCTTGTATCTCTCTCTCTCTCAAAAATAAATAAACATTAAAAAGTTTTGTAAAGGAACATAATAGAAATTTGAAATAGAAAGGGATGAAATGAATTCGTTGGATGTTGGTGTATGGTTAAATGGGTCTGTTACACCTTGCAAATACGACTGAATGTTGTAAATACCCGTGATGGTTATCAAGAGATTAAAGGTTTAAGATCTTCTGGACTGTTAGGAATGATAAGTTTGCCACCTTGGACTATTCTGCTATTAAATAACTCACATAATATCGCTTAACAATATTTCTTACTCAAAAGACAGCTACTTCATAACAGGGGTTGGCTTTTCCATAACCTTAGGACCGAGTAGAAGTAACCATCTCACTCCACTAAGTAGTAAGCAACAAATGCCTATAATAAACTTTTTCCAGAGGCAATAACCTTGACAACAATATCATTGAGACGAAACAGGAGGAAGCTTACATATCAAATTCTGGCAGGATATGCAAGAATTGGGTTCTCCATGGGTGCTTTCTTTTTTTAAATTTTTTAAACATTTATTCATTAAAAAATTTTTTTTCTAATGTTTTGTTTCTGAGAGAGAGAGAGAGTGAGAGAGAGAGAGAGAAAGCAGGAGAGGGTCAGAGAGAGAGGGGGACACAGAATTGGAAACAGGCTCCAGGCTCTGAGCTGTCAGCACAGAGCCCGACACGGGGCTCGAACCCACGGACCGTGAGATCATGACCTGAGCCGAAGCCGGAAGCCCAACTGACTAAGCCACCCAGACGCTCATCAATGGGCACTTTCTATTTTATGTACTCCAGACCCTCAACCACCTTAAATTTAGCTACAAAATAGGACAGAAAAGGCTCCAACGTCCAATTTGCTGTAATTTCCAAGTGCACAGGGTACACGGGCTCTCTGTCATGCTCCCCCCTCTCACGACTCACAAAGTATATTCAGAACCTGTAGGAATTGGTTTCAACTCCAAGTTCAGGATCTTCCTTCATTCCCCTGCTTACATTTGAAGAAGCAAGAACGTTCAAACGGGGTGAGGATGGTGGAGATGAAGAGCATAAAGGAAGGTGCTCAGTGTCTAGCATTCGGAGCGTGAATGTATATTATTATTATATATGCTGAATACATGTATTATATAGAGAATAACATATCTCTAAATATAGATTGCGCGTGCGCACCAGAAGAATAACGATTCACAGAAGGAACTGATACACAGGTCTGCAATTCTAGTCAACACAGAATAAATCTACGTATCCAGTTATGGAGTCAGGTCATTGACCCAACGGTGGTGAGTGACTAATGGAAAGTTCTAGTCAATTCGGGTGGCTAAGAAGCTTCGCTCCACCTCTTAGGATTGAAAAGAGAAATAAAGGTGATGGTGTGGATGTGCGACAAGTCCTTGAGAATGTCCCCAAAGATGTGATACACTATGTTCTGAATGTCTGTATCTGCCCCGGATTCCTATGTTCAGACCTGACCCTAAGGCTGATGGTATTTGGAGCTGTGGGAACAGATCAGGTCCTGAGGGGATGAGGCCCCCTCACTAGGGGAGGCTCGCCCTCCTCACTTCTTGCGTGTGAGGACACGGCGAGAAGACGGTCCTCTGCACACCAGGATGAGGGTCCTTGGTACGCATGGGATCTGTCAGTCCTTGGACCCCTCAGCCTCCAGGACTCTGAGAAGTAAATCTACATCATCTCCGTTTCTAAAGTAGCTGGAGAATTTAAAAGCCAGCGGGGACAGTGGTTACCCTTCCGTCCATCCCATTCCAGCCCCTCTGACCTGAACAGAGGTGCAACAGCTGGTGAGGAACGGAATAGGAGCCCCGTGCACACAGACCGGACGCCGCCCCCCTTGACAGAGGGGCTGGGGAAGATGCCCTCTTCACGTCTCTCTTCTGGAAGACGGGACCGTGCTTCTGAATGCATGGGCTGAGTTAGCAGTGCATGTGGTCACTGGCATGTGGTCCCGAATACAGAGCCTGGGAATGGAGGAAGACGGCCACCTCCCAAGATACTGAATGAAAAATTGCCCGTCAATAATAGAAGCTCCAAGACTGTGACGAACCCAAGAGAGATCAGATATAACGAATACTCAGTTTGGGTTTGACACAAGACTTTTTCTTTCTCGTTGTACGGAAACAGGTTCTCTGGATGGTGGGCCTTCCTGCTCACCCAACGATAAAACTACCTATGAGGCCGGTGGCATAGCCTTGCTGCTGCAGGATTCTTGCAAACGTGGTTTCGTTCTTGGGGAGTCCGCCCGATCCCCCGTTCCACTGGAGGGCGCGGTACCCGTCATGGGCTTCCATGCCTGGGGAGCAGAGCAGACAGCAAGCGCTCACTCTCACATGGCTATGGCTGGGCTTGTCACCAGGGGAGGAACCTGGCCCACACCAGGGGACTCATCACCATGCCTGGGCATGCTGTGGGTTGTCACAGTTGTGGCAGGGGTGATGCTGGCATCCGGTAGGGGGAAACACCCCAGAGTGTCCAGGATGCACTGGGCACAGAGAATCACACCTGCTCCAAAGTCAGCAGTGCTAGTATGAGAAACCCTGCCTTACCGTGAGATTGTTTATGTATCCTTCCATCTATCATCTATCTGTCCGTCCGTCCACCCATCCATCCATCACATCTATCTATCTATCCATCCATCCATCCATCCATCCATCCATCATATCTATCCATCCATCCATCCATCCATCCATCCATCCATCCATCCATCCTATCTATCTATCCATCCATCCATCCATCCATTCATCTATGTGTCTGTCTATCTAATAATCTATGTATCTATCTATCTATGTATCTATGTATCTATCTATGTATCCATCCATCCATCCATCCATCCATCCATCCACCCATCCTTCGATCTATCCATTCATCTGTTTCTATCATCTATCAATCCATCCATCTACTCATCCATCCATCCATCCACTCTATATCTATCTATCCATCATCTATCTACCCATCCATCCCTCCCTCCCTCCCTCCATCACATCTATCTATCTATCTATCTATCTATCTATCTATCTACCTACCTACCTACCTACCTATCCCTATACGTATCTATCTTCTGGCACGTCAAGACTGACTAAAATATTTAGACAACTAAACACAGTGTTAAACATAATCAACTACCCTTGGAGAGTTTCAGTCTCTGAATTCCCAATGAACCCAATCATTGCATGACTACATAAAACACAGTATGCTTTATGTAATTACAAGGTGATGCATCGTCTGCAGATTATATTTACACCATTTTCCCTGGATCTCAAGCATCACTAATAATATTGAGGATGAGAAATGAGTGGTCACAGATATAACCCTTTCCTGATTGTCCCGGAAACACTGACCTGATCTGAAGGAGTGCCTCCCCGTGAGGAAGGAAGATCTGCTCGGGGTGCAGAGGGGGGCGGCCGCCAGGTGCTGGGTGAGTCTCACACCTTCCTCTGCAAGCCGGTCGATATTGGGTGTCCTGAGCAAACCACACACAGTCACTGTCAGGAAGGGGACATGCATTCAGCTTATGGGGATCCACGCACTGAGAGGTACGGGCACAGAGCGCATCGCTATTTCTGTAGGGTTTCAGAAGTAGCTGCATGTGGTGTCTTGTAGAAGCACATAGGCCCACTCCCAACACAACCAGCGTTGAGTTCCGCTTGCTATAAAAGATGCGGAGCCCTTGTCCTGGGGTCCTCAGCCAGGACACTGGCTGCATGTAGAGCCCAACCCACTGCATGTAGAGCCACCATCTGAGCCCCCCGTGTCACCAGATGGTCTTGGGGGCCATGGACAAGCTTCCCTTGACACTGTTTGCTCCTCTGTGAGCATGCTCTGTTCCACAATCGGGAAATGGTCTTCCCAATCGAATGGAGAAGGAGTACTCCTTTCCTGCCTAGATCACCAAGTTCTTGTGTGGATGGTTACAAATAGCAGAGAGCAAGTGGATTAGAGAGGAAGACATGAAGACCAAGGCCACTGGCTGAATACTTAGACTGTATGGAACAGAATATGCAAAAGCCAATACCTGAAACTTCCTTATGGGCAAGTGGTCCAAAAGCCAGTGGCCTCAAGGTGAAAGGGATCTTGGGAGGGTATTGGAGGCAGTGGGTGGGGGGGCTTCCTAGCTGAGATTAAGAGTATTAGTGGAGGGCACTGGGAGTTGAGTGTGGTCCACGACCATTATCTACTGGGAAGAAGAGCCTCTGAGGTTCCCTGTTCTCCCAACGCTACAGGAAGAGCAAACAGACGTGACTGTGGCTTTGTTGAGGGAGATGGGTGGTCCCGGGCTGAGTCGGGGTGCTGGTGGGCGCTATTTTCTTGTACGTAAGGCACACTCCAAGCCCTGTGACGCTGACTTCTTGCTGGTGGGGGGTTCCGGGTGTCCCAGAGGGTCCTCGTCCATACGTTGTATGGAGGAAGGACATAAATAACATGAGCTGTGAAGCACATAGTCAACGGAAGGAACTGTGTGAGTCGGTGGGCATCCCAAAGTCCTAGTGTAGATTTTAAGCTTCAAGAACTTGAGACGCATCAAGGCCACCACTGAGATCACCCTCCGAACGCTGCACTAAGTACCCTTCTTTCTAACTCGAATGGGGTTGCACGTTTTGAAGAACACATTTTTGGTTTTAGTTTTGCTTTTGTTTTGGTCCCTTTGATTGAACACGGTACAATCATGATGGATTGTACATCAGACTGAACACGGTCTGAAAAAAAATGAAAAATTAAATGTATTCGTCAAAATCCTCAAAGCCAGTTAAGCATCAAGGTAACGGGCAGGAGGAACATTTTCAAAAGAGGTTCGTTGTAACTGCGTAAACGTCTGAGCTGGCTTAGTACTATAAAAGTATAATGATTTCGGAGGTTATTACGGTGAAAACCTGCATTTTCGGACACCCCGTGTTAGCTTTAGCCCCGGTGACTTATCAGTCAGTGGAGCGATCTCCCTGTGTGCAAGGAGACAAGCGAAGTTTGGAGGTTGAGCCCTTCACCCTTGGTCGAGGAGCTAGAAAGTGCCCAAGGAGGGCTTAATGCCAAATCTGTGTGACTTAAACAATCCAGAGTGTGGCGTTCTGGGGATTGTGACTCAAGCATCTTAGCTACGGGGGTCACGTGTTGTATTAATCACGGATTTTCCGATAAGAGTACAACCACCCATCCACTCTGTGACCGCGGCAGCCTTTTCCCAGACCGCTTTGTTCTTATTTAAAGGCAGCGGGTGCCCCTCACCCTCTTGTACGCAAGCTGTTATCTTCTCTCCGGGCCCTTCCTGCCTGTCCAGAAACCACAGCAGAAACATTTCAGATACCTGCTCCCCTCGGGGCAACTGCTGGGGCCGTGCCCAGCCTCTGTTTCCAAAGAATAGCTGTGTCATTCTCATTCAATATAGTTCTGGCTGCTTTTGACTCATATGTTAATTCAACCAACTGAAATATAACTGTCCTTGAGAAAAAGCAGCCATTCTGTACTCACGCTGCTTGTTTTCAATAACTCAATTAGAGAAATTTAGTTTCTCTTTTTTTTTTTTTTTCTGGCTAAGCTATGAACATGATTTGCAAGGATCTTATAGCATCTACCAATTAAGTATAATTTTATTAGCTTTGACCGTTTTTCACAGTTGACAAAAAGTTCTCTCCAGTTTGATATCCAAAATTCCAACTATGTATCTAATTATCTACAAATCTATGTATAATCCATCCATCCGTCCATCCGTCCGTCAATCCATCCATCCATCCACCCACCCACCCATCATTCCGTCCATCCATCCTCCAATCCATCTGATGGGTGAGCATTAGGTGAACCAGTCCCTGCCCAGGGGGGACATGTGTGACATTCCTCAGGCACCCATGGATGCTCAAAAAGAAAGGAAAGAAAACCAACAGTTACCTGATAGAGATCACAGTCAAGCAGACCGGAGTCTCCATCAGTTTACAACTGTCTTAGTAAATTACAAGAAAAAGGCAACCTTACCAATAGCCTCATCTCCAGAAACCCAGAGACTGTTTCCTGGAGCCCCAATAGCACCCTCTCCTACATCGTGACGTGGGGAACAAAGGGAGGAAGGAAACCCCATAGCATCCACCCATCCATCCAACCATGCATTTATTCAGCCATCCATCCTTCCATCCATGCATTCAATTCATCCATCCATCCATCAATTTTCCATCCATCCATCCACCTTCCTTCCTTCTACCCAACTATCTTTCCTTCCTTCCTTCTATCCATCCATTCATTTTTCCATCCATCCATCTTTCCATCATCCATCCATCCACCCATCCATCCATCTTTCCAAGCATCCATCTATCCATCAACGTATCAAACCATTCATCCAGCCATCCACCCACCAATGTTCCTTCCTTCCTTCCTTCCTTCCTTCCTTCCTTCCTTCCTTCCTTCCTTCCTTCCTTCCTTCCTTCCTTCCTTCCTTCCTTCCTTTTTTCCATCCACCCATCATTCCATCCATCAATCATTTGTCTATCTCTATCTTTCTTCTATCAAGTATTTATCTGTTACAGATGTCTTTATGATTATCTACGTCGTGGAACAGAATGTAAAACACTACAGGTTTCAACCTCACCATGGAAATCTTCTCTTGCAGAATCTCTTTCCTTCTCTTGTTAAAAGAGACCTTAAAACAGGAAAAAATGCTAATATATATATGTATACATATATATATGTATACATATATATATGATTTTAAATTCTCTTTTCCTCGTTCCCTTCTTTACCTAAGCAAACTGATTGCCAAATATAGTCCTACAGTATTACTTTCAAGTGCCTTTCATTTTTTTACACATTCTTTTTCTTTTAAATAACCCTCTGGCCTAGAATCATACTCACTTTTATTTAAGAAACAGAAAGTATGAGAGTGTCTGAGACTGATACAAATATGCTGAGAAACAGCCCAGTGACTGTCAGGAAAGAGACGGAGGAGGCAGGGCACAAATGAGACTTTCCAGAGAAAAGAGATATCTTCTCTTCCTGTTACGTTAATAAAATAAGCAGATTCTGCGTGTATTTACAGGCTCTTGGATCCATCGTTAGCACATGTTAGAGCGTCGGGACATGGCGGGGGGAGCCGGTGTCTCAAACCCAAACCCACACCAAGTTATGAGGCTCCCGAGGCTCCCAAGGGAGAGGCAGGAAGGCTCAACCAAAGCCAAGCAGAAGGGAGTCTGGACTCACCTCTTCGTGGGGTCAAGGTCTGCGCCGTCTGTTAGAGGTTGTTCTGTGTTCCATGATTTAGAACCAAGATCCACACCCCGTGCCAGATCTGGGCCTACCTCTGTGCCCTGATGGTGCAGAGCCTGGTTGGGATCCTCTGTCTCTCTCTCTCTCTTTCTGCCCCTTCCTCCACTGGCTCTGTATCTCTCTCAAAATAAATAAAAATAAACTTAAAAGAAAAAAAAGAGTTGAGTCTTCCAGCTGTGAGCCTTGATAACTCACATCGGCAGAAGTTTTAAAGGCGTGTGGAGGGGGTGGGTGGAAGCGGAGGAAACATTCTGAAGACCAGGGAAGTGTAGTAGATTCGGGCAGGATGCCCACGTTCCGTGTAGACGGACGGTGACGGGCACGGCCCCCCACGTGTGTAAGACGCCTGCTGGAACCCACATGGCCGCTTGGCTCAATGTCTTTCTTCGTCAGTGAGTCAGTGAATGACATTCTGAGAACATCTTTGCTGCCTAAGGTGTCCCCAAGAACCCTGTTCTCAGTGTGCTTGTATTTTAGTGGGAGGGAGAAAGATCAAGTACCTAAAAATCATGGGTGCTGTCCCCTATGGGTGGTAATGGGCATGAAATTCCAAGGTCTGGGTATTTCTTTTTTTATTTTTTACTTTTTATTTTTATTTATTTATTTTTTTAAATATTTTTTATTTATTTCTAGGAGAGAGAGAGAGAGACAGCGTGAGCAGGGGAGGGTCAGAGAGAGAGGGAGTCACAGACCGAAACAGGCTCCAGGCTCTGAGCTGGCAGTCAGCACAGAGCCCGACGCGGGGCTCGAACCCACGAACCGCGAGATCATGACCTGAGCGAAAGTCGGACGCTTAACCGACTAAGCCACCCAGGCGCCCCAATTTCTTTTTTTAAAATATATTTTTAAGATTATTTATTTTGAGACAGAGAGAGGGCATAGCAGTGGAGAGGCAGAGAGAGAGGGAGGGAGATGCACAGTCAGCACGGAGCCCAACGTGAGACTCGAACTCACGAACCGTGAGATCATGACCTGACCCGAAATCAAGAGTCAGATGCGTCACGGACTGAACGACCCAGTTCCTCACTGGTAGTTTTCTGAGCCCCAAACCCACAGGCCACAGAAGGTCCCGAGGGGTAGGAATGCATCGTACGAATTCCGGGGACACGATTCAGTCCATACCCGGAGCGATGGTTCCCTGGGGGCGTGATACTATCCTCAACTGGTTCGTGCTGCTGGATGCACAGCTCGGAAGATGCTGGAAGCCAACGAGTCGTCCACTTTGAGTGGGTGAATCGTCTGTTCTGGGCAGGCTCCGTGTGGGGAAAGGAGACCCATGGGTACAGGCACTTGTGGCGGTGCTGGACGGGCCAGAGGCAGAGGGGGACCCGGTCTGTGCAGCCAGCCCCAAGGTGGGCAGCTACTGCAAGGCGACGTGTGTGTGTGTGTGTGTGTGTGTGTGTGTGTGTGTGAATGGGGGAGGCGGGCTTCCTAACAGAAATGCCACAGAAGGAAGGAGGCGCTTTCTTCCCCTTTCCCCTCCTGCGCACAGAGCAGGCCAGCGCCCCCCGGGAGCGTGCAGGCCCCGAAGGAACACGCCCTGAGCTCCCTGAGCTCCGAGGTGCATGAACCGCAGCCCGGGGCAGATGGGCCGTGTCCTAACCCCAGTGTTTGTGAGCGGGGCCTTACTTGGAAATGGGGTCTTTAGTTAAGGATCTAGAAATGAGCTCATTCTGGAGAACAGTGGCCGTAAATCCAACGACACGTGTCCTTGTAAGAGACGGAGGAGGAGACGCAGACACAGAGAAGCCGCGTGAAGACGGAGGCAGAGACGGGGGGACGCGGCCACGAGCCCAGGGTCTCAGGGGTCCTGCCTGGATCTGAGGGGTCCTGCCCCCACCCCGGGATCTGAGGGGTCCTGCCCCGCCTGGGTCTCCGCCATGTGGTCTCCAGGACTCAGAGAGAATAAATTCCTGTTGCCTAAAGTTACTCCGTTTGTGGTCCCTTGTTAACCCTACGATACACATACACGCACCCGCCAGACTGCTGCGTTGTCTGAAAAGTTTGGGGTCCTGTTTCCCCGTCCAAAGGCAACTTTTCAGTGTTCAGATCCAATTCCCTGAGGAATTTCCAGTAGAGGCGGATTTTAAACGCATCCTTCAGTCAAATACACCCCCCAACAACACACACAAAACAGCCAGACCCCTGTACCTCAGGGTATCGTTCCCATAGCAACCAAGGTCCCCGATGCCAAGGTCATCTGCCATTATCAGTAGAATGTTGGGTTTAAAGGCATTTGCTGCTTCGAACCCGGAAGTCCTCAGAAGCAAGGTCAGAGCGAGGGGAACCCACAAAGAGACCCTGGAGAAAGAGAGAAAAGGGGAAAATGGATGCGTAGCATTTGCGACGGAAAAGTCATTTCTAAGCACCTTGCTGGGGGCCAGGGCGTTTCCAACAAATTAGGAGTCGTCCAAAGGGGCTGCATCCGGGTTCTGGTTTCCTTTTGTGCCCACGCTTGCTTTCTAACACGCACCCCGAGAAAAGCTGATCGGCCTTGGGCTTTGTTCTGAAAGTTGGGGTTCTGCCCAAGGGAGGTTTCTTGCAGGGATGAGCCCAGGCCCCGGCTGCCTGCCGTTTGGTAGTGAGGCTGCTTCCGTGAGGTTCCTTCTAAAGGACTTTTGTTCCGGGCCCAGACTTTCGGGGTGCAAAGTGACCCCGAGGGCGCCCTGCGTCCCCGGAGCGACCCCACAGGAGGGACCCAGGTCTAGTAAGCAGGGGGGGGGGCTTACATTTGAAAAGGCAGGATGTGGGATTAAAGCACCCCAGGAGCGTCACCCAGTAGTTGCCACCGGGGCTTGAAGGGCAGGGCGCCAGCCAGGCCGCGACGCACGGGTGACGCGGACCCGGGCCCTCCGCGCCCCGGAGCGGGAAGGCCCGGGGGGCCGGGGCGCCCTGACCCCCATTCCTGGCTCCTGGCGGGCAGCTGCAGCGTGCGCAGGGTCCCCGCAGGGCCCCAAGGCCGTCCGGTCCCTCCATTGCGCCCCGGTGCGCCCGCAGTCCGCGGATGGGCGCGCGGAACCGGGACAGAGGGGGCGCCACCCTGCGCAGGAGGAGCAGGGCGGGGGCGGGCCCGGCGCGTGTCGGAGGGCGGAGTGGTGGAGGTGACACGGCTGCGTGCGGGCGAGCGGGGACCCGCAGGGACCCGGGGGACTGGGCCGGGCCGTGTTGGGGGCGGGGACCCGGGGGACTGGGCCTGGGCCGTGTTGGGGGCGGGGACCCGGGAGACTGGGCCTGGGCCGTGTTGGGGGCGGGGACCCGGGGGACTGGGCCTGGGCCGTGTTGGGGGCGGGGACCCGGGGGACTGGGCCTGGGCCGTGTTGGGGGCGGGGACCCGGGGGACTGGGCCTGGGCCGTGTTGGGGGCGGGGACCCGGGGGACTGGGCCTGGGCCGTGTTGGGGGCGGGGACCCGGGGGACTGGGCCTGGGCCGTGTTGGGGGCGGGGACCCGGGGGACTGGGCCTGGGCCGTGTTGGGGGCGGGGACCCGGGGGACTGGGCCTGGGCCGTGTTGGGGGCGGGGACCCGGGGGACTGGGCCTGGGCCGTGTTGGGGGCGGGGACCCGGGGGACTGGGCCTGGGCCGTGTTGGGGGCGGGGACCCGGGGGACTGGGCCTGGGCCGTGTTGGGGGCGGGGACCCGGGGGACTGGGCCTGGGCCGTGTTGGGGGCGGGGACCCGGGGGACTGGGCCTGGGCCGTGTTGGGGGCGGGGACCCGGGGGACTGGGCCTGGGCCGTGTTGGGGGCGGGGACCCGGGGGACTGGGCCTGGGCCGTGTTGGGGGCGGGGACCCGGGGGACTGGGCCTGGGCCGTGTTGGGGGCGGGGACCCGGGGGACTGGGCCTGGGCCGTGTTGGGGGCGGGGACCCGGGGGACTGGGCCTGGGCCGTGTTGGGGGCGGGGACCCGGGGGACTGGGCCTGGGCCGTGTTGGGGGCGGGGACCCGGGGGACTGGGCCTGGGCCGTGTTGGGGGCGGGGACCCGGGGGACTGGGCCTGGGCCGTGTTGGGGGCGGGGACCCGGGGGACTGGGCCTGGGCCGTGTTGGGGGCGGGGACCCGGGGGACTGGGCCTGGGCCGTGTTGGGGGCGGGGACCCGGGGGACTGGGCCTGGGCCGTGTTGGGGGCGGGGACCCGGGGGACTGGGCCTGGGCCGTGTTGGGGGCGGGGACCCGGGGGACTGGGCCTGGGCCGTGTTGGGGGCGGGGACCCGGGGGACTGGGCCGGGTCGTGTTGGGGCGGGGACCCGGGGGACTGGGCCTGGGCCGTGTTGGGGGCGGGGACCCGGGGGACTGGGCCGGGTCGTGTTGGGGCGGGGACCCGGGGGACTGGGCCTGGGCCGTGTTCGGGGCGGGGACCCGGGGGACTGGGCCGGGTCGTGTTGGGGCGGGGACCCGGGGGACTGGGCCTGGGCCGTATGCGGGGCACTAGGAGACCAGGGGGTGTCCCTGGCAGTGGGGGTGGGGATTCGGCCGCACTCCAGGGGCCATTTAGAGGGTTTTGGGGGAGAATAGGCCCCGGGGGGTGTCCCGTGCAGGGGGGTGGGGACTCGGCCGCACTCTGGGGGGACGGGAGGGTTTTGGGGGGTACTAGGGGCCCGGGGGGTGTCCCTGGCAGTGGGGGTGTGGACTCGGCCGCACTCCGGGGGGACGGGAGGGATTGGGGGGCACTAGGGGTGCTGGAGGGTGTCCCTGGCAGTGGCTGTGGGGGGTGGGGACCCGGCCGCGCTCTGCCGGGGCCTGGTCCCCGAGGACCCTCCGGCCATTCCCCTGCCTCTCCAGGACCCCCCCCTTCTAGCTCTGTCTCCCCTTTTCCTGCTAACCCCCCCCCCCCATAAGGCGGGCTCTCGTTCCCGCAGCCGCGCGCCGGCGGGACGGGCCTCCAACTGCGTCCTGGCGGCTCCGAGGCGCACACCCGGCCCGCCCGGCCCCGGCCCGCGCTCGCCCCCGGGGACCCCCACCTCCAGAGCCCCCATCTCCGCCCCCGGGTGGAGGCCGCGCCCCCGGGCCCCGCGCACCTGGCCGCGGGCGCGGCGCGTCCCCTCCGGGCCCCGGGCCCCATGACGGCGCGCTGGCCGGGCGCGCAGGACCTTGTCCCCAGCTCGCCCTCGCCCGGACCCGCCCCAGTGCCTTGATCTCCGGGCCCCCGGGGGCCTCCGCGCATTGATCTCGGAAACAAGTTTTCCCGGTCTGGGCCGCCTCCTCCGGGCAGGCCACTCCCCTCTCCGGAGCCTCGGGTGCAGGAGGGGAGGAGTCATCCGGGCCGGGCCTGGACGCGGGGAGCCTCAGGCAGCCCTGGGCCAGCGAGCCCGGTTTTCCAGCGAGTTCTGGAAAGGCCTGGGGGCTGGGCGCGTGCAGGCCGGCTTCGCTAGGGTCCAGGACGCCGGATTCCTCCACGTCCAACGTTGGGGAGGGGGCGGGTGTTCAATGCGAGCTGGGCTAGGTCACCGTCACCCACGGACTTTACAAGGGGGTGTCCCGGGGGGCTTGCCCGTGTCCTGGTCCCCATGACCTGGCCTGAGCCTTCATTTTGTCTTGGCCCCTCAGTTCTGCATTTGGGGAGCCGGCAATGGGGAATGAAGGTTTACCTCCAGCTTGGGGTCGGGCGACGTTGCCCTAAGTGCCCACCGTGCGCACGCCTTGCGCGGGGACTTCCGCCCTGAGACCTTTGAAAGATTACATTTCTGGGGTTTAAGGTGCGTCCTCCGTGGTTCTCCGTCTTGCTGGGGACTCCGTCAGCCTCAGGGGACTGTCACACGTGAGGACTGTGACAGGTGGGGACTCCGTGTCTGCGTGCGCGCAGCGGGGTAAGTGCGCACGGGGCCTGGTGGAAAGTCGCCGCCTTGGGGAGGGGGTCGCCGTCCTGATGGGCAGGTTCCAGTGCAAGGCCAGCCGGCAAGGGAGTTTGGTCGTGACACAGTGGCCTTCCGACACAGAGCGAAGAACGGGGACTCCCCAGCACAGCCCCAAATTCTGGGTGTCCCCCCAACCACCAGAGCATTTGTTCACCGAGAATAACGATAGGCCTGGGCTCTTGCAATGGGCCCCACTCACACGTTTTCAGGGTCATTTGTCATGCTTTGTACGCACCTGCCCTTTGAAAACCCATTTGGCACGTACTCCCCTTCCGCGTGGACTCTGAGCCCTGCGTGGACCAGAGTGGCCTCGCCCTGGGGAGCCGGGGGTCTGTGGATGGAAGTCCCCGGGGCTGGGAAGGCTCTGCACCTCCTCCCCCTCCATGAACAATATAAGTCAGGCAGAGAAGGACAGATACCATATGTTTGCACGTATACGACCATTAGGAAGAACTTAACGAAGGACCGTGGGGGAGAAGAAGGGGTAAATAGTGGGGGAGAGCGAGGCAAACCATGAGAGACCCTGAACGCTGAGAACAAACTGAGGGCTGATGGGGTGGGGGGAGGGGAAGGGGGTGATGGGCATGGAGGAGGGCACTTGTGGGGATGTGCACTGGGTGTTGTATGGAAACCAACTTGACAATAAACTATTAAAAATAAAAAAAAGCACCTGTACTCTACCAGGATGCCATCATTTAGTTCCACCAAAAAAAAAAAAAAAAAAGAAAAGAAGAAACCAGAAACCCCCTCCGTGGCTCCTTGTAGCTAGTGCTGATTGCACGCCTCTTCCTTAGGTTTCTGGTTTGAGCTGCAAAACTAGTCCACGGTCACAAACGGATAACTTAGCCCAATGGGGGGTTTAATTCCAGCAGCGAAGGCTGCACGGATCGGGGAGAGGGCCCAGCTCTCCCCGGGGGGGGGCGCTTACGCCGGGTGGCCCTCCCGGTCACAGCGGCACAGGGGGAAGGGGCCACAGCACGGCTGCAGCCAGGGTCTCCACACGTTGCCCAGCGCGCCCAGCTGCGGCGGGGCCGGCCCGAGCGTCTGTCGGTGCCGTGCCACGGCCCGGGCCACCGTGTCCATCACCTGCTGAAAGCAGGGCTCCGTGTCCGGCGTCAGGGCGTGGGCCTCGGCCGGGTCTCTGGACAGGTCGAAGAGCAAAGGTGGCTGGTGATGGGCGACTCGGTCCCCGGAGCAGGGGCAGACCGCCTTCCCGTAGCAGGCGCCCGCCCCGCGTGGCTGGAACACCGGCGTCGTGTAGTGGACTTTCCATAGTCTTCCTCCTGAGGGAAGGACAAGAATCTCAGAGGCTGACGTGGAGAAGGGGTCGGGTTGGTGTCGACACGGATGGATTGCTTCGGAGGAGCCCACGCATCTGTGAAATCATGAACGGATGAGCACGTTCAGGACACGCGAGTCCACGGAGAGAAAAGTCGACGGGCGAGCGGATGCCGGGCGCTATGGATGGGGATGCACAGTGAGCGCTCATGGGGCCGGGTCTGTGCGGGGGACAGAGTGTTCCGGACTCTGGACGTAGGTACAGGTGATGTTTGCACAACACAGCGGATGTGCTAAATGCTCCCAAGCTGTACGTTTTAAGAGAGTGAATTTATTCACAGTATGTGAATGTTATGGACTGAATGCATGTGTCCCCCCTGAATTGATCATTGCAGCCCTGACCCCCAATGGGGTGGCCTCAGGACGCAGTGGGAGGTTCACAGGTCCCGAGGGCAGAGCCCTTGAGAGCGGGCGGGCTGAGAGCTCTTCTAAGACTCAGGACAGAGCCCCCTCCCGCCTCTCTGCAGCACGTGAGCACAGGGAGAGAAGGCGCCGGCTGCCACCGCCCCCCCCCAGCAGCCCCCCGGAACTGTGAGAGGTCAGTATCTGTGGTTCATGAGCCCCCAGGCTGTGGCGTCCTGCCCCGAGCGAAGAGCGAGTTGCCGCTCCATAAAGCTGGTTGCGAAGGAGTGAGTTCCTTGTGTGGTAGCGCGTTCGAGGCAAGACGCCCAGAGCCGTGCAATGGCAATCGCTCTTCTCCGGAAGCTTCCTCCAGGGCCCTGGGCAGCTGGGAAAGGCAGGGAGGAAGGGAGGGAGGGGAGAAGAAGGGAGAGAGAGAGGAAAGGAAGAGCGAGCTACAGGAAACAGCCTTCCTCTGGGAAGGCACCGGGCCCAGCTGCCTCTGGAAGGGACTTGGAAAGGGAAGGAGGGAGCGGGAGGTGTGTGCACCAGCCTCCTGCCCTCCGGGCTCCCTGCTCTGGGACGGAGGCCCCCACGCTCGGATCCCCACAGTGAGCTGGGGCAACCGTGTGTGTCACTAAGCCAAGGACCAGGGATGGAGAGGCTCAGGATCAGGGCCTGTGTCCTGGGATGTGGGGCGCAGGCCGGGACGCGGGGCCTTGGTGTTAAGAGACGCACACCCTGTGATTCCAATCTCTGGCCTCTGTCTGCCTCTGCGCACTCAACGGTGACCTCGCGGCTCACCCGTGACGTGGGGACAGCCACCCTCAGGTGTCTCTGTTTCTAGGGCGAAAGGGAGTAGCAGCGATCACGTGCTCATTAAAGGTCGTCCGCTGCTCTACTTGAGCAACCGTGCTGAGCACACGGAGAAGACGCAGGAAGGGGGTGGTGGTGTCTGCCTCGGGAAAGCCTTGCTCGGAAGCTAACATGGCATCTGAATGTCAAGAGCGAGCCAGTCGGGTGGGAATCGGATGCCCCTGTGAGTGTTCTCAGAGACGGGGAGGGGCTGGCTCATCGCACGAGGGGACTTTGTTCTGACGAGTGTGCAAGGCGTGGTCTTGGACTGGCTTTCAGCACGGGCCGAAGGGCTCGTGCACGGAGCGTGACCAGTGGATGATTCTGGAAACCCGGTCGGGATGCCGTTGAGGAGGCTTGAGCTTTGGGAATGCGGTCCCCATCTACTGCCCTTGACCAAACATTGGGATATTGGCCCAGTTAGTGGGAGATGAGGCGTCAGTCATGGGGCAGCCCCCGCAACATAAAACAACAAGTGCGAACACTGGACATGGTTATCCGTACTGGGCGTGCGGGGTGATAGACTGGACTTCACGGCGGAACGGCAATGTGAGCCATCGAAAAGGAAAGGAAATGGGGTGCCCGGCGGGCTCAGTCGGTTAAGTGTCCGACTTGGGCTCAGGTCATGATCTCACGGTTCGTGGGTTCGAGCCCCGCGTCGGGCTCTGTGCTGACAGCTCAGAGCCTGGAGCTGCTTCGGATTCTGTGTCCCCCTCTCTCTCTGACCCTCCCCTGCTCACGCTGTCTCTCTCTCTCTCTCTCTCTCAGAAATAAATAAAAACATTTAAAAATTTAAAAAAAAAAGGAAATGAAATGTGTAATATGCATTTAAAAAAAGCCCCAAAAATGTAGCAATGTGAGCCATAGCAGATTCGAATACTATTGAAAAGAATGGATGAAAAGGGAGGGATGTTTAAAGAAAAAAGGTCTAGGGATGCCTGTGTGGTTCCGCTGGTGAAGTGACTTTTTCTGTCATGATGTCACAGCTGATGGATTTGAACCCCACCTGGGGCTCGCTGCTGTCAGTGCAGAGCCTTCTTCGGGTCCCCCGTCCCCCCCCCCACCCCTCTGTCTCTCTGCCCTACCCCTGCTCACTTTTTCTCTCTCAAAAATAAATAAACACTCGGGGCGCCTGGGCGGCTCAGTGGGTTGAGCATCTGGCTTCGACTCAGGTCATGATCTCACAGTTTGTGGGTTCGAGCCCCGCGTCGGGCTCTGTGCTGACAGCTCGGAGCCTGGAGCTGCTTCAGATTCTGTGTCTCCCTCCCTCTCTCTCTGACCCTCCCCTGCTCACGCTGTCTCTCTCTGACTCTCAAAAATAAATTTAAAAATTAAAATAAATAAATAAATAAATAATAAACACTTTAAAAATATATACATATGGGGGCGCCTCGGTGGCTCCGTCAGTTAGGCATCCAACTTTGGTCATGAACTCACAGGTCACGAGTTCAAGCCCTGCGCCGGGCTCTGCGCTGACGGCTCAGAGCCTGGAGCTGCTTCAGATTCTGTGTCTCCCCCTTTCTCTCTGACCCTCCCCTGCTCATGCTGTCTCTGTCTGTCTCTCTCAAAAATGGGTAAAGTTAAAACATTTTTAAAAAGAGGTAAGGTGGATGGGAAAGGTGGAAACCAATGCAGGTTAAGAGCTCGGGCTTCGAAGGCGAGAGGCGGATTAGAACACGTGTGCTCAGGAAAGCCGTACAAAAACCCCCTAAACAGTGCTCCTATGGTGAGAAGGCGCCTGACAGCTTGCACCCCGAAGGGCTTGGGTGACGCACAGCCGAGATGCGGCTCCAGACAACTCACCGTCACGTTGGTACCAGCGGGCCGCGTGCAGAAAATTCTCGCAGTAATGCAGCAGGAAGTCGTGAGCCGAGTGCTCTGTGGTCCCCAGAAGCAAGGGAAGCATGTCCCGGCCATCGATCACCCTGCGGACACGGGGCACAGAGACTCAGGGCCGCGGAAAGTGTGCACGGAAGGCACGTGTGAGCCTTCGCGAGAAGAGGGAGGCATCGGACAGGCACCCCCATTCTTTGCACACGTCACCAAGGGCCCAGCCCTTACCTGCCCGCCCTCGATAGCTGCAAATACGAGCTGAGGATTCAGCGAAATGCATGTTTGCTTTCATTCTGTATTCGGTCCAAGCCCTGAGACACACGGCGTGTTCTTCCCCAAGACTGAGTACCGTGGCCCCGTCTGGAGCGCGCCCTGGTTTGTGTATGTCCTGGTGACGTGCCACTGGCTTCAGGGTGGGAAGCAGCTCCGCGTTTCTTGGCGACTGACCCGCCGCGCGCTACGCGGTAAACTTGTGTGAACGTCCTGGACCGTTGACGTTCCCCACACCTGACGGAATCGAATGCCCTTGTGGAAAAGTGCAGTGACCCTTCTTGATTTTTTTTCAATTGTTTTCATTACTTTTCAGAATCTTGTGTGTCAGATGTAAATCATCAATACTGAGGACAGATTTTTACAGGTGCCTGTGAGAAGGGGATCTTTTGCTCTCATTTGACTAATGTTCTTTATTGTGTTTCTACACACATAAACTCACACGTATATCTTTATATATATTCTTTTTTTTTTAATTTTTTTTTTTATTATTGAGAGATAGAGAGCATGAGCAGGGGAGGGGCAGAGAGGGGGGAACACCGAATCTGAAGCAGGCTCCAGGCTCCGAGCTGTCAGCACAGAGCCCGACGCGGGGCTCGAACTCACAAACTGTGAGATCGTGACCTGAGCCGAAGTCGGACACTTAACCGACTAAGCCATCCAGACGCCCCTCTTTATATATATTCTTATATATACGCACACATATATATACTATACGGTATTGGTTCTGTGTGTATATATATACACATAAATACATGTGTATATCTTTTTATATATCCATATATATACACACATACATATGTAATATATAAATACATACATTATAGGGGCAGATTTATTTTACCATCTAGCGAAACATTTGCAGTATAGATGTTAGACAAATTTTTGGTTTTAGAGAAAATGATAAATTATAAATTATTTTCAAAATTAGCACCCAGTTAGGAAAAAAAATCAACCAGAGAGATGATATTCATCGCAAGGAAAGACAAAACAGGATGTTGAGTAAAGGTATGAAATATTCAACCTCCCTAGTGGTAAAACAGTGGAAATTATAACACACATATATGTATATTTGTATAGGCATATGTGAGTACTTTTATATAAGTTTCCTGCACAAAATTTGTATTTGTTTTAGTTCTGTTTTAAAATAGACATGTCGAGGGGCGCCTGGGTGGCTTAGTCGGTTAAGCGTCCGACTTTCGCTCAGGTCATGATCTCGCGGTTCGTGGGTTCGAGCCCCGCGTCGGGCTCTGTGCTGCCTGCCAGCTCGGAGCCTGGACCTGTTTCAGAGTCTGTGTCTCCCTCTCTCTCTGACCCTCCCCTGCTCACGCTGTCTCTCTCTCTCACTCCTACAAATAAATAAAAATATAAAAAAAAATAGACATGTCACACCTGGCTGGTACGGATTCCTAAGGAACAATTTGACAAAATGTATCAAGACATTTACCTATAAACAGCCATATCTTTTGACTAGGAATTCACCTTCGATGGGATTCTTACTAAGGAGGTAATCATGACAGATAGTAACATGATAAGACAGTATTTTTTTTTTAAGCGAAAATGTTTTAGTGAAAAAAAATTGTGGAAAAAAAAGAAAACTTTTTTTCTAAAAATTATAAGGGGATGGTTGAAAGAAAATACCATGAGGGCATTAAAGTTTGTCTATTCAGAAAGATTTCTAAATATATATGTATTTACACAAATATGTATAAAATATGGAAAATGTATCTATATCATATATCTAAATCTACATATCTAGAGTAGATCTAGATGGATTGAGATGATATATATCATACAATTTACGATTGTCTGAGAATCATATATTTATTATTATATTTTTGCATAATTAGGATGATATGATTATATACATAATTAGAGTATGAAATAATTTTATTTGTTTTAATGTTTTATTTATTTCTGAGAGAGAGAGAGAGAGAGAGACAGCATGAGCAGGGGAGGGTCAGAGAGAGAGAGGAAGGCACAGAATCTGATGCAGGGTCCAGGCTCCGAGCTGTCAGCACAGAACCTGACGTGGGGCTCAAACTCACAAACTGTGAGATCATGACCTCAGCCAAAGTTGGACGCTTAACTGACTGAGCCACCCAGGCGCCCCGAAATAATTTTATTTCCTATTTCCCCAAAAACTCTCTATGATTTTTAAGACAAAAATTCAGAATTGATACAAAATCTCTACCACACCACACATGAAAAGTAATGCCCTGTGATGAATATTTAGATTTTTCAATGACCACCATAATAAAATGGCTCCAGTTAAGGATCAGGAGAAGGGAAATAAACATTCTACATATAAAATGAACGGGGTGGCTGATCCCAGTCATTAGTAACGGGGAGCCTGGAGTGTTTTCCCAGACACTGACTTCATGGGCACGTTACGCAGTGCAAAAGTGACAATGATATTTCACATACGCATTTGTCTGTGTGCAAGATTGAGCTGTTTGAGTTTCCTTGGGCTGTTGTGTACCTGTCCTGGGGCACCTCACTGCCCCCCAGATGCACCACGGTGGGGAAGACATCCATCAGGCTGGTGGGCTCGTGGATCACTCGGCCGGCCGGCAGCACCCCAGGCCACCGGAAGATGCCAGGGACGCGGATGCCGCCTTCCCAGCCCCCCATCCCTTTGCCACCTGTGGGTAAAGACGAACAGAAAAGAAAAGAATGTGATTGTGCCAGGGTTTTTTGGCAGCGCGTTTTACAATCTTGGGGGTACATCTGATAATGACATGTCTATAACCGATAGAATTCTACTCTGCAAATGATGTGGCCGCCATGGGTACCCACCTTTCTTGGATCCATTGTGTAATTCCTGAGTCCCTCTCTTCACGAACGGATAATCAAACCGTGGCCCCTCCAGGGGCACCTGAGTGGCTCAGTCGGTTAAGCATCCAACTTTGGCTCAGGTCATGATCTCATAGTTCATGAGTTCAAGGCTCGAGTCGGGCTCTGTGCTGATAGCTCAGAGCCTGGAGCTGCTTCAGATTCTGTGTGTGTGTCTCTCTCTGCCCCTCCCCAACTCATGCTCTGTCTCTCAAAAATAAATAAAAACTAAAAAATTAAAAACCGTGGTCCCTCCATATAACAGAAACTTACTCAGCCCAAAAAGGAACGCAGCACTGACATGTGGCACAATGCGGATGAATCCAGAAGACATCGTGCTCAGTGAAAGAAGGACCATGTATGGCGTGACCCCACTTATATGAAATGGTTCCAGTAGGGAAACGGAGAAAGAAATAAGTTGGTGATAACTCGGGAAGAACTCGGGAATGACCGCGCGTGGGTACTGAGTTTCCTTTTTGAGGAGACGACCATGTTCTGGAGTTAAGAGGTGGTGATGGTTACACCCAAAGTCACAGCATTGTGCAAAAGAAAAAAAATCAAGTTCCAGTGTGACAAATTATACTTTCCTGAACAGGAAAGCAAGGTCCCTGGGGACTCTCTTGACGTGGATGGCCCCATTCCAAGGGAAGGGTTGGGGAGTTGTAGGGTGGAGATACAGACCAAACGCAAGGATCTGGGACTCTCTCTACCTTTATAGATTCCATTCCAGCCGCCATATTGGTCGTTTCGGAGTTGAGACTCTAAAGCTCCCCCATGATCCGATGTAAAATAAACGAGGGTGCTGTTGGTCAAACCTTCCATGTCCAAAGTATCCACGATCTTCCCTGCAGAGAACAGAGGGCATTTGATCCAGTCAAAATGGAAGACTATTTTAAACCAAAGTCGTCTGTGTGTGTTTGAGTATCTTGGACCTCTCCATGAGAGTCAGCCTTTAGTATTAGCACATAATAGGAGCAAGTACCTGTGTAGTCATGCTGTTTTGAGCATCACTGACCCAAGATTCATATATACTCTTAGATACACCCCATTCTGTTTCCAAAAAGTTGTACGCAAGCTACAGGTTATATATTGCATAGGGAAAAAATAGCAAAAATTTAATGGGTTTTTTTATGGTTTTATTTATTTTCGAGAGACAGAGAGGCAGAGCATGAGCAGATAAAGGGCAGAGAGAGAGGGAGACACAGAATCTGAAGCAGCTCCAGGCTCTGAGCTGTCAGCACAGAGCTTGATGCAGGGCTCAAAACCACGGAATACGATTTCATGACTTGAGCCGAAGTCACATGCTTAACCGACTAAGCCACCCAGGTGCCCGCCAAATAGCAAAAATTTTAAATTTTTTTAATGTTTTATTTATTTCTAGGAGAGAGAGAGAGACAGCATGAGCAAGGGAGGGTCAGAGAGAGAGGGAGACACAGACTCTGAAACAGGCTCCAGGCTCCGAGGTGGCAGCCAGCACAGAGCCCGATGCGGGGCTCGAACCCACAAACCGCGAGACCATGACCCAAGCGAAAGTCGGACGCTTAACTGACTAAGCCACCCAGGAGCCCCAAATAGCAAAAATTTTAAAAAGGAGGCAAAAGAAGATTATAGAGTCACCCATACTTCAGTTAAAAAATAGGGTGCCTGGGTGGTTCAGTTGGTTAAGCATCTGACTTCGGCTCAGGTCATGATCTCATGGTTTGTAGGTTCAAGCCCCACGTCAAACTCTGTGCTGATAGCTTGGAGCCTGGATCCTGCTTTGGATTCTGTGTCTCCCTCTCTCTGCCTCACTCTCTCCCACCCTTCCTCCCTCTCTCTCTCTCAAAAATAAATAAACATTTAAAAAAATTTAAGATAAAGGGAGAGAAGGAAAAAAAGAAAGACCGAGAGGGTCTAAGAAGAAGGCTGACAATGGCATTGGAGATGTATAGACATTAATGAGGAATAGTTTACAAGTGCAGTCAAGGCTTCTTACGGTTACCTCAACAGGGAATCTTACAGCTGATGCAATTCACAACGTTCATGGGATTTTTAAAAAAATTGGTTAAGAAGAGTCATGTTATTTCATTTCTAACAATAGACAAAACTTCCAAGCTGCATTGCCATGTGAACTGGGTCATGAGGTTGACTATGGCCCCAGAGAAATCCCATTGTTGTCTATGTTTTTCTTTTACCTTATCTACGTCTTTATATTTAACCAGTATCTCTTTTGGGTTGGGTCTTGTTTTTGTCATTCAGTCTGACAATCTCTATTTTAATAGGTTTGATAGAGCACAATCAGTTTTCAATTAACCATGTCGCTATTTTTGTTTCTCTTTTTCTCTTTTCGATTCCCAGTTCAGCCATTTCTTTGTCTTCAGTCGCTTTGTTTTGGACAAATGTATTTAAATTTGTGATTCTATTGAACCCCGTTCCTTTAGTGGATAGATTTTATTTTTTAGAACAACTTTAGGTTTTATAGATAAGTTGAGTTGTATCGATGAGTAATACTGATAAACTCTTTTTTTTTTTAAAGTTTGTTTATTTTGAGAGAGAGAGAAAGAGTGCCTGATTGATCACGTGCAGGGGAGAGGCAGAGGGAGGGAGAGAGACAGAATCCCAAGCAGACTCCACGTTGTCAGCACAGAGCCTGACACGGGGCTTAGACCCAACAAGCTGTGAGTGATGACCTGAGTTGAGATGAAGAGTCAGATGCTTCACCGACTGAGCCAGCCAGGTGCCCCCTGGTAAACTATTATTAACCAAAGTCTAGTTTATACTGTGGTTCAGTCTCGGTGTTGTCCATTCTGAAGATTTGGGGAAATGCACAATACCATGTATGCAGCACCATAGTAACTGACAAAATAGTTTCCCTGGCCTAAAAGTCCCTTGTCCTCCACCTCATACATGAGCCCAATCATTTTCACTTGAAAAATGATCATACGGTGCTTTGATTGTGTTTGAAATTGGAACACAGAGGCACTGAAGCCGTAGCAAAGATTCTTTCAGTGTTTCTGAGAAGTTTCTTATCTTGATGGACTTAGGGCCCTCTTAACTCTGTACTGTAGAATTTCACATTTTATCCCTCGATAAGTGTTTGATCACATGCATCTGCACAGGTATTCATTTAACAGATTTTTCCTCCCCTCGTGACCTGGCGAATATCGTTTAAACACTCAATATCTAGGGCGAGTGGGGGCTCAGTTGCTTGAACATGCGACTCTTGACTTTCCAGTCATTCTTCGTGTCTTCCACACAAGGACTGTAGCGGCGATGGTGAGTGAGTTTGTCCTGGAGAAAACGGCATCATGAAGCCCCACGGGGGATGTGATGTGACATCGATCTTTGCCCACAGGTCTCTCAGCCTCCGCCGTTTTCTCCAACATTGACTCAAGTCATTACATTTCCCTCCAAGGTGATGTTTCCGGTGGATTTCTTAAAGTATGTTTTCTCTTAAAATCTCTGACTCTCCTTATTCTGTCCACCAGCACGTCGGCCCGAGGGGACCCAACTCCTTGTGAGAGGAGCGTGGAAGTGTCTGTGCGTCTCTCTCCATGTACTCACTCAACAAATGTGCCCTTTCTGTCATTCCAGGTATCGTTCCAAACCCAGGGGAGGCACTGGGGGAACATGGCAAAGACAATCCTACCCCACGTGGATTTTGAGCTATGTTCTCCTGGGGGAAAATCCAAAATCAACCCACCTAAGACGGCGTGGTGAGAAGAAACAAAGCAATCGGAGAGAGGAAAAGGCTCTAATCGCTTACAGCCTTCCCGTTCGAGGAGATCGCACTGTTCACACCGCCTTTTCCGTCTTTAGTCTGCATTAATCTCTTTTCCTGCTACTGTTTTCGGAGGCCCAACTGTCCCGTTTTCACCGGGAAAAGGGACTCACTTACCCAGCATCCAGTCCATCTCTTCCGTGTTATCCCCGTACAGCCCGTGGGCACTCTTCCCGCGGAATTTCTCGGTGGTGATCAGAGGGGTGTGCACGTGCAGAAAGGAGACAAAGAGGAGGAAAGGTCTTTGCTTGTTTCTGAGAATAAATAACAGTGACTGGGTTTACTTTTATGGAAAGCAGAGACTGAGGTCCTGGAAGATGCAAAATATGGATCTGGATTGTCATGTCCTTAAAGAAGTGTATCTGCTAGTCTTTAATGTGATGACGTTACCCTTCTAGAGTCTGCTGAGGGGCGCCTGGGGGGCTCAGTTGGTTGAGCATCTGACTTTGGCTCAGGTCACGATCTCATGGTTTGTGAGTTCGAGCCCCGCGTCGGGCCCTGTGCTGTCAGCACAGAGCCCACTTCAGATCATCTCCCCTTCTTTGTCTCTGACCCTCTCTTGAGGGTTCTCTCTCTCAAAAATATATAAAGACACTTAACAAATGGCACTGATATTACACACATTTTTTTTTCTTGATTTTTATCAATTTGTAGGTATATATACCTCTGGAACTAAAGGTAAGAGAATTCCAGGTGGCTGGGTTTATTTAATTCCATTATGTATTTCATTCAATTATGTCCAAATAGGTTTCCACCTCAATCCTTAGCATACAGAATAAAGTGATATTGCATATTCGATTTTCTTTTTTTTTTTTTTTTAAGGTTTTACTTTTAAGTAATCTCTACACCCAACCTGGGGCTTGAACTCACAACCCTGAGATCAAGAGTCACATGCTCTATTGACTGAGCCAGCTAAGTGCTCCTGGCTTTCTTTTTAATGCTCTTAAGCCCACTTTTTTTGGAAGAAGATGTTATGTTTAAGTAATCTCTACACCCAACATGGGGCTCGAACTCACAACTCCAGGATCAAGAGCCACGTAGTCTACTGACCATGAGACATATGGGCTCCCCTAGCTCACTTTATTGTAAGAACGCTGCGTAGAATACATATAGCATCCAAACGATGTGTTGATCTACTATTCACGTGATTAGTAAGTCAACAAGAGGCTATTAACAGTTAAGTTTTGGGGAAGTCAAAGTTACACATGATTTTCATCAGCACCTGGTGTGGGCATCTCCACACCCCTATGTTGTTTAAGGTCAACTGTAACTATCAACATCATTTCAGACTCACGTTAGGCACTTCCGTGATCACAACCTCATCACCACCAGGTGAAATGGGGTTCAGTACTGTCCCCCACTTTACTGGAACACCCTTGGGGAGCATAGAACCGCCTCTGTTTGGTGTAGCTTTTCATCAGGTCCCTCTAGGCTCTGACACAGTAAGTTGCTTTTTACTCAAATTCACATTTAGCATAAAGTTAGCAAAAGGACAACTTAATTCTGATGATAGAGCTTTAAACATGCTTAGAGCTTATTGCAAATCTATGGGTGTTTCCGTTTGTTAGGTAAATACGGCCTGTGGTGGTCAGTGGGTGCCTACCTTATGGGACTGGCTCAAGTGGGGCTTAACTGAACATCGTCTATGACACATTTTACCAAAAACATCTTTCTGGCCTGGGCTAGGGTGATTTCACTATTCTTATCCCCGTTGCTGAAAACGGCTTTTTCAAATGCATTTTCATCATGGACCAGAGCCCTAGGAGGAAGCTAACCCTTGGATGCTCACCTTTGGAGGAAGGACGAGACCTCTTTGAGAATAAGAGATGTCGTCCTTTGAAAGCGCATGGGCTGCTCAGTGATGGTGTGGTTTCTCATCAGGAAGCAGTCTGCATGAACGATCAGGGCACCCAGGAAGTATGAGGTGGTGAAGAGCAACATGGCAGCAAGGGTCAACCAGATGACTGGAGTCCATGAGCCTGACGTCAGGTGGGTGAGTTTCCCAGCGGTGAGCGTGAGGGCAGCAAAGGCCACGATTTGGAAGCAGACGTTGAGTTTCCGCTCCATGCCTGCACGCTTCTCTGACAGTTCCCAGTGGATGCAATCTCCCATCAGGGAAAACGGCATTCCGTAGAAGTGGTCGAATCCGTGGTTGAGCGGGTGGTGGCAGTGGTCATTGGAAGATTCACAGTTGAGACCCAGATGCCATTTTCCTGAAAGGCAAAAGTATGCCTGTGTGATGCATAGCCAGTCGCTGGTTACTAGGTCCTGTGAGCTAGCCACATCCCACTGCTCTGCTGGGAGCCAGGAAAGGGCAGGGAGGCAGAGGGGTGTGAGCAGTGTTCACTGCTATTTGAACACAACTGAACCTGGCCCCAGTGTGGCAGCATTACGTGCAGTGTTGTTCCCTAAGCTGCTGCCACTAATTGGCGTATTCGTGGTTGCTTGAAGCAACGGGAATTTGGGCTCTCATGGCTCTGAGGCCAGGAGCCCAAAATCAAGGTGTGACAGGGCCGTGCTCCTTCTGTAGCGTCCACGGGAGCCTCTTTCCTGCCTCGTCTATTTTCTATCTCTTCTATTTTTCCTGTCTTTTCTTTCCTATCTTTCCTTCTCTTCTATCTTCTGTCTTCTGGAAATCAACCGTTCCTTGACTTGTGATCATATCCCTCCCATCTCTGCCTCTGACCACACTGCTTTCTCCCCTTCCGTGTCATGGATCTCTCTACATCTCTCTTTAAAGGATTCATGCTCTTGTATATAAGACCCACGTGGGTCATTCATAACAATCTCATCGTCTCAAGATCCTTAATTTAATAATACCTGCGAAGACCCTTTTTCCATTGAAGGTAATAGTTTCAGCCTCCAGCATGTAGGATAGGATGTCTTTGATGACTGTTATTCAGTCTACTGCACCTGAATTTGCAAAGGCCTGTGGTAGGTCAATAAGGAAGGCACAGAGTGCGCCAACTGCTCAATAAAATGCAATCTGTTGTAGACAGTGGGTAAAAGATTTCTTGATGTTGGGATTGCCCGTCTCTTGATTTAACCACTGTAATGGTGGTCAAGGTCATGGTGGACATCAGGTTCTACGGAGCATAACTTTCAAGTTCAATCAAAGACAGGTGTTTAGCTTCTCTACTGTCGCTACTAGGGTGTTGATAAAGAGGCCTGTGCATCTTCCCACCACCCCAAATGGTGTCTCCCATGCAGAAAGCCTCATGCAATTTTCCAAGGAATGTTCCATATGGATAGACCCCCCCATCCCGAAAAACGATAAAGAGCGTATCAGATTTGAGATGTAGGGTATCAGGTAGTCCTTGCTGTTTATGACCAATAAATGGTGCTGTTAATAACAATTATCAGTATAAGGTGATAATGACAGTGACAGCTTGGTACCCTCTCAAGAGACTACTGTCCTTAGTTGTACTTCATTCTATGCATGCCATGGTCAGCTGACATACAGAAAAGTAAACATGCTATTTATGGAAGCAGAGAGGGAAGTACTAAGCTTTGCAGGCACATTTCTTTTTTTTTTTTCAAGTTACAATTTTTAATTTTTCTTTTCCTTTTTTTTTTTTTTACAAATAGTTTATTGTCAAGTTGGTTTCCATATAACACCCAGTGCTCATCCCCACAAGTGCCCTCCTCCATGCCCATCACCCCCTTCCCCGCCCCCCACCCCCATCAGCCCTCAGTTTGTTCTCAGCATTCAAGAGTCTCTCATGGTTTGCCTCCCTCCGTCTCCCCCATCATTTCCCCCCTTCTTCTCCCCCACGGTCCTCCGTTAAGTTCCTCCTAATCCTCCTATATGTGCAAACATATGGTATCTGTCCTTCTCTGCCTGACTTATTTCGCTCAGCATAACACCCTCAAGGTCCATCCATGTTGCTACACAGGCCAGATTTCATTCTTTCTCATTGCCATGTAGTATTCCATCGTATAGATAAACCACATCTTGATCCATTCATCAGTTGATGGACACTTAGACTCTTTCCATGTTTTGGCTATTGTTGAGAGTGAGGCTGTGAACATTGGGGTACATGTGCCCCTAGGCATAAGCGCTCCTGTGTCCCTTGGGTAAATTCCTAGTAGTGCAGGCACATTTCTATGCAGACTTTAGGGGAAACAACATTATGGAAATTATTGGCAATTTGGTGACATTCGAAAAAATTTTTCTAATTTTGTTTATCATGGTGTGTCAGCGCATAAAATGACATGCTAGGTGTTTCATTAAGCTGATTATTTCTTGACATCTACTTTGCACTAGGCAACCTGCAGACCATAAGTTCATGCCTGCATGCGTGGAGCTTTCTGTCTGGTGGACGAACCCAGTGCGACACGACCATTTGATTCCCAAGCATTTTGGTTGAATATACTCTCCAAATAAAAGTAAAGTGATTAATACTTAAAGAACATACATACCTATTAGGCCAGTGGCATAGCCTCTCTCTTTTAATATCTTTGCAAAAGTTGTCTCATTGGCTGGAAGCCCTCCAGCTGCTCCGGCCCACTGAAGAACGCGGTAACCATTACTGGAAACCATACCTGTGAGCAATCATTTTCAAAGAAATATCACCATCACACATCGACATTAATCATTATGATTAATTTTTCATTTAATAGGCGGTGAAAAATTAATGGAAAATTTAGCGAGAACACTATCGTCCTGCCGTGTGAAGGTTATAAACACAAGGAGAATGAAATGACATAAGAAGGGGCATCAATACCGGTTTTATAATTTTATCAGACTCCTGATATAATCCGGGGGTTCTCAAACTCGTTTGCACTTTGGAATCATTTGAGAAGCTTCAAAATATTCTGAAATCTGGTTGTCAACCCAGAGATTTTGATTTCAGTTGGTTGGGGGGTAGAATTTGGGGTGGGTTGCAACGTGCCCCAGATGATTCGAATGTACCAGCACGGCAGGGAGCCATGCATATAATTCATACCGGCCCTGACATATCCAAGCCGTTGATACAAGTGTTTAAAAATGTAGGTTCAATATTTTTTCTAAAGCTCTGTAGTCTACAGTTGAGAACCACTGACTTAGAAGATGCACTATGGCTCCTAGACCATTTACGTGAATGCATCTCATTCTTACTAAGGAAGATCCACGTGGTTCAAAGAGTGAACGTAGTTCTCACTTGTCTTCATTTGGGAGCTTGGAGAATTCATTCTGAGGTTTTCCAAAACTCGGAGAATTCGTCTGGTTCGGCGGGAGACTAGTGAAACGTATGTGGTTTGTGGCCATAACAAAGATGGCGGGCTGTTTCAGCTTAAGTTGGCCAGGATTCCTTCTTCCCTGGGTCATGAGAGGGTCCCCGACACCCATATACAGCAGTGTCCATCTGATGATGTGTCACATGGCCAGGCCAACCTCTAGTTATTCAAACACGAGTCCATTAGTTTAGATGTTGCTGTGAAGGCCTTTCAAGATACACTTAACATGTACAATCAACTGGCTTTAACCAAAGGAGATACCCCTTGATATGGATATTTCTCATCCTCGGGGTCCAAGGACATCACACAGATTTCATACTTTTGGTCCATTCCGTACTCTAACACCCTGTCTAAGCCAACTCATTATCTGTGGGGCTCTATACCTATTACTGACTTGAGTCTGATGCTCAGACTACGGGGGCCATTAGATTCTTCTCTCCCCACGATACCAGTGGACCCACGCATTAATATCTGTGTTAGAGGAGTTACAGGGCACGGGCTCTTCTCCAGAGCCATAGTTGGACATGAGGGAGAACAGACCTGATCGGAGAGGGTATCTGCCCGTTAAGAAAGCAGCCCTGCTTGGGGTACACACTGACGCGGCCGCGAGGTGCTGGGTGAGCATCACACCGTCTCGTGCCAGGCGGTCAATATTTGGGGTCCTACGGAAGGAAACACCAACAGTTTTGTTGCTGAGCGAAGACACACGCTGGTTGTTCTGTAAGAACATTGTTCTATTAAACATATTTAATAGAAAGATCAGCCCATCATCACTTAACATATTTAATAGAAAGATCAGCCCATCATCACTTAGCTCATCAAGGTGTTCTTGGGAATGGCCAAGAACTTTGGATGTCATGTGAACCGTCAGAGAAACATAAACTCCATTGAATGTTGTCTACTAAGCTTCTGTAACACGGTACCGGTGGTGGTACGGAAATGGCTACCCCAGAATATCCAGAACGGGGGGCCCGGGGTGCCTTCTCACGTGGAACTCACAGTTTGGGGCTGAAAATTCGACCTCGTGGCACCAGCGCACTGTCGTTGGTATGTGAGGGTGGGAATCAGACGAAGCTTCATGGTGTTGGCTGAGCTGGGTCTACAAGGCAGTTAGAATTCGACCCAGGTGATGGAGTGAGGTCATTGTACGCGGGATGGGCTAGCGATGACAGATGAGTGTGGTGAGGCATGTTGGGTGATGGGGACATGGATCTGTGTGTCTGAAGCAGAGCTTTGCAGTGGGGGGCCCTGGAAAAGCCATGCGTGAGTGGATGGACTTGACCTGATGGATGGAAGTGGAGCGTGAGGAAGTCCTGGTGTTTGGCTTAGATGCAACAGCCCTGAGTTTGGGGACTTTGCCCATCATGGACTGTGCTGATGGAAACCACGTTTAGGAGTGAAAGGACGAGTCACACGTAGGACGGATTTGAGCTGGGGTTAGCGCGGGTGAGGGAAGAGCGAGGGGTTAGTGGCTGTGACAAGGATGTGCCCAGAGTCCTGGCAAAGTTTGGACTGCGCGCATCAAGGGTTCGGCGCCTTGTGAGCGGCGTCTTCATCGAGATGCAGAGGACTGGCTCTCAGATCCTTGCCTGATGGTGTTGTTACCGTAGCAGCCAAGGTCGCCGATGCCGAGATCGTCTGCCATGAGAAGAAGGAAGTTGGGACGGGAGCCAGGTAAGTCCCCGCAAGCCGAGGGCGTCAAACCCACAAGCGCGCCGACTGTGACAGCCAGCCACTTCCTGCAAGACACGGAACCGGCGAAAGCTTACGGCTGCTTTCCAGTCGAATGGTGACGCTTCTAAGGGCATCACTGGGCGACTTTGATATTAGCATCACGTTGTGGAAGAGTTTGACCACAATTCTTAGGTCTTTGGTGTTTGTTTTAATGTTAAAAACAATTCATATTCTGGATTAAAATTTTTTTTAAATTTATTTATTTTGATAGAGAGAGCATACAGGAGGGGCGGACAGAAAGAAGGAGAGAGAGAATTTCAAGCAGGCTCCGTACTGTCAGCACAGAGCCTGACGCGGGGCTTGAACTCATGAAGCTTGAGGTCATGACCTGACCTGAAATCAAAAGTCTGATGCTCTAGGGCACCTGGGTGGCTCAGTCGGTTGAGCGCCCGACTTCGGCTCAGGTCATGATCTCACGGTCTGTGGGTTCGAGCCCCGCGTTGGGCTCTGTGCTGACAGCTCAGAGCCTGGAGCCTGTTTTGGATTCTGTGTCTCTCTCTCTGAGAAACAAATAAAACATTAAAAAAAAAAAAAAAAGTCGGATGCTCAACTGACTGAGCCACCCAGGTGCCCTTGGGTTTTTATTTGAACGGTAAGCATTTTTTTGGTAAGTCCTGGAATCTGTTATTAGAATTCATACCGTGATGGGGGAAAGGCTTTTTTGCGTTTTCTTATTATGCATGAATCAAGTCCCCAGAACGGCTACAGCTCTCTGCGTTTATCTGTTCTTCATATTTTTTTTTTTTTTAATAAGTAAAGCGTGTTGAGCTCAGTTGGGGACTGGACCACTGAGTCAGGGCAAGAGCTTTCCAGTGCCGTCTGGTGATTCTGAGTCTACAAAAAGCCGCCGTGTGTTCGAGCATGAATGTGAAACTACCAGAGACTGGCGTCTTCAGCTCTCTGATCCCTGGCGGGAAGTGGGTCCACGGAGGTGGCGTGGACTCCTGGCAAGGGCAGAGACCCCTGGAGGTGGCCTATGAGGAGGAAGATTGACCCGGGAGGTAGTGCCTTTCCCGCCACCATCATGCCTTAACCGAGCCCTCTGTGCAGACCCTCCTGATTCTGGAAGCCACCGTGGGCAGTGTGCCAATTCCCGGCGCCGTGAAGTCAACAGGGCATCTGAGCCTCCAGGGACGATGTGCAGAGTGGGCTCCCCGGGCCACCAGACAGTGCGGTTGGCAAGAGTGACATCGATGTCCTTCAGGTCGCTCCCGGACTGGAAAGCGGGAGCAAACGAGATCCCCCTGAGCCCCGCGGCCTGCGCCCCAGCATCGGTTACTAGGTGGGCAAGACCAGTCTGTCGATGCGCTCTGAGCGAGGGGGCGGGAAGGAAGGCGGAGGCGGAAACCGAAGACAGACGAGTCTTTCCATCTTACCACCAGTGCTCCAGACGCTGCATGTTGTCTTCTCCGTCGTCCTTCCTGTAAGAAACGAGGGGGGGTGTCCTAACGGCATTTGACACGTGAAACAGTAACTGCCTATCGACAGGGAAACTTTGATTCGCTCGGATGGTATCAATGAAGCCTCAAAGCAGCTGCCGAAAACTCATAAAAAGGATGGTTTTGGGGCGCCTGGGGGGCTCAGTCGGTTAAGCGTCCGACTTTCGCTTAGGTCATGATCTCGCGGTTCGTGGGTTCGAGCCCCGCGTCGGGCTCCGTGCTGACTGCCAGCTCGGAGCCTGGAGCCCGTTTCGGTCTGTGACTCCCTCTCTCTCTGACCCTCCCCTGCTCACGCTGTCTCTCTCTCTCTCTCAGAAATAAAAAAACATTAAAATTCTTTAAAAAAAAAAAAGGTTTATTTATTTTTGAGACAGAGAGAGACAGAGCGTGAGCAGGGGAGGGTCAGAGAGAGAGAGGGAGACACCAAATCCGAAGCAGCTCCAGGCTCCGGGCTGTCAGCACAGAGCCCGACACGGGGCTCGAACCCGTCAACCGCGAGATCAGGGCCTGCGCCGAAGTTAGATGCTCGGACTAAGTCACCCCGGGGCCCTGCCCTGTTCAGCCTATTTTGTACATAATACAGTCTGATATTTAATCTACAAAAGCTTCATCATCATTATTATTATTCCATGACCTCAGCCCTTTATAGAATCCTGCATACTTGCTTCAGACTGCCTTCCTGTTAGCGGACAAAACTTTAAGAAAATAGAAGAGGGAAAAAAAAGCACAAAGCGGTGGTTTCTAGGACCTGAGGGGGCCTGGGGGCGTGGAGTCTAAGGCACAAACCAGAAGGTGCATAAGTGCTGGCGATCTAACCCACGACTTAGTGCTCACGGTGGTTAACGGCCTAGATCATAATCCTTCCTGATGCAAAAATGAAAAGGTAATTATGTAGCGTCACGGCGGGAAGGTCATAAGCACTTGTATCAGATGCACACAGTTGCATCTATCAGATTAACACAATGTTACCAGTCAATTGCATCTCAGTTGGGGTTTTTTTTAAAGATAAGGAATCAGACAGAGAAAAGCCCTTCAAGGCCCCGCAACTCCTGAGTGTCTTCCAGGGTGGGAAGAAAGTGCACCCTCCTCCCGGCTCCCTCCACCGCAGGGTCGAGAGCCTGCCTGCCCCCTACGCCTCAGCCCTGCGGCAGCCTGGGGGGAGGGGGGCCTCACCCGTCCAGTCCACATGGTCCGAGGCCGTCAGCCTCCAGCCTCCCCCCTTCCTCCGCATCTGCATGATTTTCCCTGTTCATTTCAATCTGCCTTCCCTTCTGCAGTCACCCCAGGTGTGCGTGCGTGTGTGTGTGTGTGTGTCTGTGTGTGTGTGTGTGTGTGTTTTGAGTTTTATTTTCTAGAAAGTTGCTTCTCATCTGGGAGCCGGGCTCAGAGCCCCGGCTCGGGCGGGCAGCATCCCTATAACATCCCTCCCCCGGCCCCAGCCCGTTACCTGGCTGGATGGGGTCCCTCGGGGCCAGGCCGGAGGGACGTCCGTCTGCGGCCAGAGAGGGAAGGCTCGTCCTGAGGGGCCGCAGGGAGGCTGTGGGCCCGGCCGGCCGCACGCATGTGCGCAGCGACTGCCTCCCTTCCAAGCCCCAGCAAGGAGCTGGCGGACAAGAAGCAAGTTTGGTTGTGCAGAGAGTGGCCGGCGTGGCCACGGGCGGTTTGCACAGGCACCTTGTTTATGTTCCTCATTAGAATATGCGAGGCGCCCAGAGGAGCCCGGACGGACGGGTCCCGCTGGGAGCAGTGACTCATTCAATCCCCACTCGGTCGGCGCCTCCTGACCCCTGTCCAAAGCACAGAGGAAAAACTCCCCTTCAAGGGGCTTCCTTGTCCCCCAGCGACACTGTAAATAACCCCGCGCCCGCCGCACCGGATGCCTGTGTTTGCCGACGTTTCAGGCCGTTTTGTGTCCGCTGCTTGGTTTCTTTGTTTGCTCGTGTTCTTCTGCACGCACGTTCGCAGGCGTTGACTCGTATCAAAGCCCCTCGTGCGCTTTGGGTCCCCGGTGCCTGAGCATCGCAGACTTGGCATTCGAGGCTCAGACAACGCCCGTCTTGTAGCTTCACAGCGTGCAAAGTCACTGGCGGATTTCACGCGCGGAAAGAAGGTTGTGCTGAACGACGCCGGTGATGTTCTCTGGGGTGTTTTGTTTGGCTTAGTTCAGTTTTCTCATGCAACTAAGCGGAGACAGATGTCGGAGATCTAAGTCAGAATTTCCAGGTGACCTGTGATTCACCCCAGCCTCGTCTCCACTGGGGGATGACACCACAGGTAATAACACCCCCCCCCCCCACCGCCCCAGGTCCTGACAGCCTTAACCGCCTGCTGCTGACCGTGGCTGGGGAGCGCAACTGCTTGGGCTGAGGCCCCCACTGTAAAGCATTTTACAGGTGGCTTCCTCGCACCTAATGACCGTCCACACGCTGCCCCAGTCCAGGTGCGCGGGTTGCACACTGCAGCTCTCAACCGAGACTTGCTTACAGCTTCTCCCTCCTTCTCTGCAAGACCTGATGGGCCTCCTTGGTAGCTGGGAAACCACAGAAACAAGCCCTTGGTTACTTTCCCCTGTACCCGCCCCGGATTCAGCGCCTGCCAAGAAACCGATTTTTCTGCCGCCCTGAAATGCGATCCTTGTGTTTGGGTTTGGAGTCGTCTGGGGCTCTGAGATGACGTGTAACCGTGTGGGTCCGTAGGGTTTGCAGATTCCTGCCAGGACACGGTCTGATTTGGGCTGTGCCCCCCTCCCCCACCCCTGCCGGACCTGGGCTTCCTCTGCTGCTTTTGTGTTTACACCGCAGGGCGCTGGAGTCGATTGTGTTCTCTTCACAAACAGCCCGGATGTCTTCACAGGCAGAGGCCAGACGCCTGCCCCTGAACAAAGGTCGGCCTACAGACCTTGCACAGCAGGGGGCGGCTTGCAGGAGCCCAGGACTGGAATGTCTTTGAAGTACAACCTCCTTGCAAGGCTGGCTGGGGGTCCCATCTCCAGAAATTACAGGGTCTGGTGGACGCCCCGCTGCTGGGTGATGATGTGAGCGTCAGGCTCATGGTAGAGAACACGTTGGCTTGTCTGGGCCCACACACCCCGTTTTCACACATGTAGTAGGACCGTAACCAAGGGTACAATTAAATGAGAAAAAATCTTGTGGTAGAAGCAATTTTTCTATCAATCTATCTATCTATCTATCTATCTATCTATCTATCTTCTATCCACCTCTCCATCCATCCATCCATGCATCCATGCATCCATCCATCCATCCATCCATCCATCCATCCATCCATCCATCATATCTATCTGTCTATCTGTCTGTCTACCTATCTATCTGTCTGTCTGTCTGTCTGTCTATCTATCTATCCATCCATCCATCATATCTATCTATCTATCTACCTACCTACCTACCTACCTATCCATCCATCCATCCATCATATCTATCTGTCTATCTATCTATCTATCTATCTATCCATCCATCCATTCATCCATCGTCTATCCACCCACCCATTATCTGTCTATCTATCTATCTATCTATCTATCTATCTATCTATCTATATTCTATCTACTTCTCCATCCATCCATCCATCCATCCATCCATCCATCCCTATATCTATCTATCTGTCTATCATATCTATCTATTATGCATGTATGTATGTATGCATGTATGTATCTATCTTCTATCCACCTCTCCATCCATCCATCTATCCATTCCTATAAGTATACATCTATCATATCTATCCATTATCTATGTATCTATGTATCTATGTATCTATCTATGTATCTATCTATCTATCTATCTATCTATGTATCTATCTATCTATCTATCATCTATCTCTATCTTCCTTCTAACCATTTCTTGTAGCATCTATTTTTCTAGAAGTGTCTGAGTCGTGCGTGGTGTCTTGCTGGCATGATATCTCTAGCTCTCAATGCAGCTAATGACACGCATCTTCTGCAGAGGTGTGACTTGAGACCCCACATGACATAAAGTTTATAAGACACAACAGAATCCAAGATGGTGAAATTCTTGTTGTACATCTACCCTCTCTTTGTTATCCTGAAAGCCTAACTGGAATTCTTGGTGGAGACTTTTTCAAAAATTATCTTGGCAAAAAACGTATTCCACTTAATGAGGTCCCCTTAATTATATGTGTGTGTTTGGTGGCAATTGAAAGCTGAGATGAAAGATTCCTTTGCTACATAAGTATGTAACAGCTGCCCGGGTAGGTTATATTTAAATATAAAGGTAATTGACAGACTTGACTAGTGCGCAACCTTGGTACTTAAGAAATGTTTAATTATATAACGAGTTCAGTCTCTTAGGAAGCGTGGCAGGAGCCTGGACGCACTGGACCCGTGTCCACAAATGTGGGAACTGGAGAAACAGCTTGTATCAAGTAAGTAAAATATGTTAAGTTCCCATAATTCCATGTAAAAGACGTTAAGTTAATGTAGCTCCAGCTTGGTGTGCTTAAATTTTTAATACAAGGTGGAGAGTGAAAAGTTGAGTGTTAGTTGTATCTCATCTATCTATCTATCTATCTATCTATCTATCTATCATCTATGGATCTATGTATGTATCTATCTATCCATCATATCTATCTATCTATCTATCTATCTATGTATCTATCTATCTATCTATCTATCATCTATGTATCTATGTATCTATCTCATCTATCATCTATGTATCTATCATCTATGTATGTATGTATGTATGTATCTATCTATCTATCTATCTATCATCTATGTATCTATCATCTATGTATGTATGTATGTATGTATGTATGTATCTATCTATCTATCTATCTATCTTCTATCCACCACTCCATCCATCCATCCATCCATCCATCATCTCTCTCTCAGTGTCTCTCTCTCCTTTTTAAGGTTTCTAGGGTGTTTTGTAAATTGCAGCATGAAATATTACATACTGTTTTTTGTGGCTTCTTTTTTCTACTCAGCCTAGTCACTTGGACACCCCCACCCCTTTGTGTTGCCTGTATTGTCAACAGCTTATTCCTTGTGGTTGCTGGATGTGGTTCTGTAGGGTTCTGGATATCTCAGAGTTGATTTATCCACTCACCTGGAGTGTAAAATTATATTTTCTGGAGTGGATGTTAAGTGTTTTAAGAGTATTTATGGTATTTCCTATGTTTGCACGTATAGGAGGATTGTGAGGAACTTAACGGAGGAACAAGGGGGAGAAGAAGGGGGGAAATGGTGGGGGAGGGGGAGGGAGGCAAACCGTGAGAGACTCCTGAATTCTG